GTTGTCGAGGCAATTTTTTTACTTCCTCAACATATGAATCAATTTTATGAACCAGTAAGACATCGTGAACAGAGCTTGGAATCTTCAATACTGAGTGAAGCTCTAACGGTTCGGTGAATGAGTCGGAACTCTTCAAATTTTTCACGTTTGGAGCAGGATTTATCAAAGTTTCACGTACTGGACGAGTCTCTTCTTTATCACCAGAAACTTGATCATCCTCACAATCCTTCATGAATATGTGTACTCCCTTGTGCTTCAGATTATGATGACCAGGAGTATCTAATTCATCACAAAATATACACAAACCCTTGTCCATTCTTTCATAAACCTCTTCACATGAATAAAGAAGCTTCTTTGGCTTACAAACTGACTTGGTCGTCGATTGTGGTTGTGTATCCGCCATGAAATTTGGTCCGAAGAACTCGAAGGCTCTGATACCAATGAAACAGTAAATTGTAAATCCCAAATCAGCTCTCACCGAGAGAACAAGATAAGGGCAAATACAGCCTAGAAAGCAACCACTGAGGTAGAAGGATCGCTTCGAAGAACTGGATTCGATGATGGATGATGATATGGTGATAGATGATGATGATCGTGAGAGAGAGTAAGAGATTGAAGAAGATAAATTGTGTTTGATTGATTAGTTTGCAGAAAGTTGCTCAGCCTTACATATATAGAAGCGACAAAGATGCAAAACCTAAACCATAAATTATAATTAACTAAACCAGAGATAGCCCAAACCATGTTCTTAACCGGTTTGTCCTGTCACAAAGTCATATATGCGGAGCCTGAGGCTGAAATCGATATGCTAGAGGCGCCCGAGTGGGATGTGGACAGCTTCGATGGTTTGGATTATTATTCATCTCCCGATACGGACTATTCCTCTGGTGACGAGATGCCTTATCCTGACATGGAAAAGGCTAATAAACACTATCGGATCTACAAACGCCAAATCATCGAGAGCAAGGTATAATCCACTGTTTCTCTTTTGACTGTGACCTAGATTCATGAATATAATCCCTTTGATGGTGTTGATTTATGTGGTACTATAACGTGTGTGATTAGGGTTTTTACGCGGAGCGAGAGTTTAGCCTATTCTATAACTACAAGAGCATCTTCTCAATTCCTTTGGAACTTGAAGCACTTGAAGGTAAAACCTTTCGTCAGTTCTGGGAAGATATGGTGCATGTCTGTCTCCAAAAACACAAGCAAGATAAGGCTAGTTCTCTATTCTCATTGTTGGTTTGTCTAATCATTCATTCACCCTCCTTGCTAGTTTTGTAGATCACGTGTATAGCTAAATCTGACTTGTTCACGATTGTGTTTGTTGTGGTTGTAGGATTTGAATGTTGAGTTTGTTGAAGTGGTGAGAGGTAATTTTCACGGAGGACCAAGATCAAAGTCATACATTACATTTATGGCGAGGGAGAAGCCTGATGGACCTCTTGTGGAGTATCAAGCCAAGTCTATGCTTACTTTGGACGGTAAGATGCATCCCATCCTCTGTAGACCGTCTCCTATACCAAAGCTTCCAAAGCCAATACTATAAGGTAAATTACAAAATTATAAACAAAGTAACTGTAGTTAGATTATTCTTTTCCCATATGGATTTTTTTTTGTATATCTACACACAAGAAAAAAAAAAACTTGATCCACCACAAATAAACTATACATAATATGATTTCGTCATGCATTTTCGTGATAGAAGACCTTATGATTTTAGTTGAGTAATAAAATTATACGTTTTAATGATACCGAAGTGGAAGACTTCATGACTCATTCTTGTTTAGATTTCTGTGATGGATCATTGGAAGTCGTACTTGTTTCAAAAACGTCGTCTCCAACTCATAAATTATTTGTTAACATCTTGTTGTTTTCCAAAATCCCATTTAATATTCCAGTTCGATCTACTCTGAAATCAAATTACTGACATTCTTTTACATATAGTTAGTCAGCAACAAAGTGTAACAAGTTTTAGAAGTTTGAGAAGTTATATATACCATCATATTGTAATGTGGAGAATGGAAGTTTCAACGTCCAATGGTACCTATCATGTGATATATGGTCATCTCCATAATTGATCAGATTCACAAAACCTGATTATCTCCTTTAAACAATCGTGTAAGCAGAGCCTTCCCTTGTTCCGAGTTGAGTGGTTTATTAGAGATCAAGCTCATGAGTAAGGAACTAGGCAAAAGGCAGTCCACTTATCCAAATTTTACTCTTTTAATATTCTCTTGTTCTCACTCATATTATTCTCATTCAAGTTTTGGAAAACGTTCATAAACACTATTATCTAAATCTTATGAGTTATGTATAAGCAAATTAGCCATAAGTAAAGCAAAAGATAATTTAGACTACATATTTAGAACTCAATCTTCGGACTTGGCCTGCAATAGATAGGATAAGTCGTCTTGTGTGTTGATTTATTGGCAACCTTGGCTTGATACTCCACAAGAGTATCATCAGACTCTTTCGCCATAAAAGTGATATACGAAGTAGTCCACGAACTATTAGACCTTGTCACTCTTACAACATGATCAAACTTCACATTGGTTTCCTGAAAAACACAACGAAAAAACAATTCACAACACATCTTAAACCAACAAAACAAACGTAAAAATAAAACGCAAAAATCAAACTTACGTTTGAGTCATTGTATTCGCGAAGTGACAGTTTAGCCATGTCTTGTGCGTATTGAAGCTCTGTCATTCCTTTAACCGGAGAATGTTCATCGTCCAGAGATTCAAGATAGATTACATCTATACCAGTCGATGGGCAACGTTTAGGACCAGTCCCTTCTTCCACAAGAAACCCCTAAATTAAACCTCCAAAATCAGATTTCACTTGTTATTTTTTTGTATGTAAAAAGACGCAAACTAAATTTCGAATAATATATAATGAATGATATATACGAACATGGCTAAGGTGAAGATTCCGTCGATAAAGACGTGCTTTACGCTCAGCTTCTTCGTCGGTATAAGAGTCTGAATCTGGTGAGCAGTATCCTCCATTGTAGAAGTCATTCACTAACCATACCGGTAGCTCGCTTTTTGAATCACCGTCGTCTCCTCCGTCGCTCTCGGCAGAGTTTTCATTGCTTTCGGAATCGGACCTGTCCTTGTTGAGAGAGGAAGAGACGGAGGATTCTCCAGTGGTTGTCTCTTTGGTCTCCGTCGCCGTGGAAGCGATTTGCACCGTCTCGGCTTCTGTCTTGCTTGGTCCCGAAGCCATGATTGTCGACAAAACCCTAGATTTTGGCTAAGCCTAATGTTTTTAGGGTGAGTTGGCATTATAGTACATTTTCATAAACTAATTAGGAATATAGTACAAATACTATTTATAATTTGTGAAATGGGTGTAAAACACTGTGCGTGAGATAAGAAGAGTGTGAGATAGAAAATGAGGTGGGGTAAGGCAGAATTTGGGTAAAGACAAAAATGGGTTCCCTCATCTCCCTCTCTCCAACTCTCGTTACTCTCAATTAGCTTTGTGTAGAAAAGAAAAATAATAAATTTTTACTTAATTATTTTTTTTTATTTTTTTATTACACACCCCTTCAGTTTATTAATTAAGATATTTGTCAATGTAATTTTCTTTTCTAATTTCTTTCACATGCAAAAATGTCTATGTTTTTTTCTCAATAGTTTGATATGCATTTTGTTAAATAATTTTAAAAACTGTATAATAGTCTAAATATATATAATTATATATGTACATACATTCTTATGTACATATATATATATATATATGTACGATTTAAGCTATATATATATATATACAAATGTTTATGTTTAATAGTTTCAAATACATTGCATGCATATTTTATGCGTACAATTTATTACAGAGATGTTTATGGCTCGAAGTTTTAGTTTGATACAACTGTACACAAAAATATATGTACATTTGTATATCACTATGCATAAAGATGTCTGTACAGATATAAATCATTGTACAGAGGAAATCTATACAAATTAATATATATATAAAAATAAAACTTTAAAATGACACATTTTGTGAAACGGGAGAGTATACATTTCATTCTCTATCTGTACAACACTGTTGTACGTGATGGTTTTGTACATTAATTGTAGCGTAAGCAGTGGCTTCGAAGGCTGTGATTCTGTACAATGGTTTGTACAATGGTTGGAATATACATGATTATGGTGTTGGAATATACATGATTATGGTGTACAATGGTTCTTCTGTACAGTAGTTCTGATGTACAGTAGTTTTGCTGTACGGGTGAAAATTTGTATATTAATATATATCTACAGTAATGAGATATATAGATTAAATTGTGTGTATTACTCTATACTTGTCTATTTAATAAGTTGTCTGAATGTACACTTAATAAGTTGTACGAATTACATTTGTACATATAATAAGTTGTACAGATTACATATGTACATTTAATAATACATCTGTACATTTATTAAGTTGTACATTTATTAAGTTGTACAGATCTAAAATCTGAAAAAAAAATTATTTGACATCATCAAATAAAATCATCTAGCAAAATGCATATCAAACAATAGAGAAAAACATAGGTTTTTATATATCTGATTTTTTTTAAAAAAATATTATTTTTATTGAATAGTATTATAGCTTTTAGATTGAAGGGGGATAAAATAAAAAGAAAAACATAAAAGAAAAAAGGAAAAAGAAAAAAAAATGTGAGCGTAAAAAAAGAAAGAGAAAGAGTGGCAAATGTTGTAAATATCAATTGTTTCTGAGGATGGTAAAGTCTTACAAATAGTGGTAAATAGTATAAAGTGATTGTTTTTCTAATTATAAATAGTAAATGTATCACTTTTCTAATTAAGTTTCATAAATGTACTAAACTTCCTATTATCTCATGTTTTTATGAGTTTATTTGTTTGCTATTTAGTAATTTGGGTTAATGATATGTGATTAACGTCTTTATTTTTATGAGAATTTTACTTTTTATGATTAATTAAACTTAAACTTAACTTTTTTATGAACCCTTTATTTGATTGTTTTTGCGAAAATAACAATAAGAATCATTCATTACAAAAGGGTCAAAGAAATTGATGGTCATATGTTTTCATTACAAAACACTACTAAGTTACTAACCAAGAACACGAAAAGCCAAAAAAGATCATATAACACAATCGTTTTATATCAAATCTTCACCCGAAAGAAGAAAAAATGTAGCCACGTGTTAGATTCTATTGATCTCTCCATATAGAATCCACAAGAAAAGAAAATAACCTTTTTACGATCATGATTATGTGTCAGAAGTAGAACACTCTGGTTTGCTGAGTTCATCACCCAACATATGATGAAGAAGTGTATCAACTCTCTGACTCCGAGACTTCGACCTTTAACAAAACAAAACAAAGCTTCAGATTTTGAGTCTACTGTGATATATAAATTCAAAAGATTTGATATCTCTACTTACCCTGCAGATCGACGCCGGTTTCTCCTCTCTTGAGAGTCCTGCAATGAACAATAATGAGATGAAAACATTTCGGATTAAACACGAGTCAAAGGTTCTTTTACGTTTGCAATCTCTGAAACATGTGTTCATTTTTTGTGTAGTCACTTTATGGCGAATTAAAGATGATAAATAACCTGTCCTTGACATTTTTCTTCTTCCTCAAGATCCAGCTCAGTAAAGAACGCCTCCAAGACAAAGGCAACAACCTGAAACAAACAAGCATAATTAGTCAGTTATAACCATTACAGCCTCCGTCTGGTCGAGCTCTTAATTAGGAGTTGGTGTCAGTGAACGTGAAACTCACCAAATTCAATAGAAGTAAAATAGTGATGATGTAGAAACTGACGAAATACGTAATGCTCCACCATGTCCCCGTCAAATCTTTGTAGCTCTGTAGAAAACATTATGAGTAGTTCAAACTATTGCACCATAGTGATTGGCAATAAGAAGGAAGCTATTTATAGTCACATCTAGCATTGCCCTCCTCAGCTCTAATGACTCTTGCAATGCTTCTTGTTGGACACTATAATGAGTCTAAAACTGGGACTAACAGAAGAATGAAATTACCTCCATCCATACTTGCCAGTTACCCATAACTAGCAGATTGAAGAGTGTGACCATTCCATTGGGATAGTCGTTGAAGTTGAACAATAGATAGCTGCGTTTTTAAGTCAAGAAACAATCATATACTGGAAATGTTTCTCGCGTAAAATAAATACTCACTATCAACCACAGGAACAGAACAGGTCTACTAAGTAAGACTATATTAAGTGCCTTAAAAGGTTTTCATAAAAGTCAAAAAAGGATACTCATCCTCAGCCATTTCGGTTTTGAAGAGCTGCTTGTTCCCAGCATTCACAAGCCCTCCAAACACCTACATATAAATGAAATGAAAATTTTTAATCACTGGTATGGGAATCGAAGCCGAGAGAAGACAGAGACAAAGAAAACACATGAAAGTGGCTCTAGAACTTTCAGATGAAGGTTCAAGAGGCTTAGTATAAGCAAAAATGAAAAGAACGACCATGGCTTCGACATATGTTAGCATGTATTATTCAGAAAAAAACTCAGTAGTCTGATTAACCTGTACGCCAATAGAGCAGTAGATACACAGCACGCAGAAAATGGTCCCTAGATATGGCATCAAACTTGGAATAAGGGTTATGAACGTCGCAATAAATGCTCGGTATCGCTGGACGTGCATAAGAAGCCTTATCAGTCTTAACATTCTTGCAAGGAGAAGGTACCGGATCCTATCAATGACAGAAGAGAACCAGAGTCAGGATTATTACAAAACAAAAACCCTTATAAAAAATATTTCATAGTTATTCCTCACCATTCTCCGTTTGAGAAGAAAGTGTTCTCGTCTGGAGTTATGAAGGTAGCAGTTTCCCCAATAACTGCGGATACAAAGATTATCAATTATACATAGCCATCAATCACTCTGTAAAACAAGATAAAATTATGCTTCAAAAGGTCACCTATGACCCATGTGACAAGAAAATCAAATCGGTTTGCACCCTCCCTCCAATAATTCTCAAATCCATATGAATAGATCTTCAGAGCCATCTCCAACACATATATCCAACCTGTGACAGCATTTTAAAAGAAAAAAACTTAGCTCCAGAAAAGTTGGTCAGTAAAAGTTGGCAGTTATAATATAATATTAATCCAAAAAAACTACTTTACTCAGCGGTATAATACAAGAAATAGCTTGACTTCTGTTTTCTTTCTTCATCTTTCCATCATATTTCTCAGTAACCATAGATTATACACTTCCAAAAAATATCAAATAAAAGAAAAAAAAATACAAATGAAGAGAAGGTAGTGGAAACCTATTCAAGTTCTTACCAAATACAAACTCGGCAACCTGCCATGGCTTCTGAGCAGAGCTTTCTTCGATATCAAGCTGTACACCAAAATCTGTTATGGCTTATGAAAGAATTAGGGATTACATGTCAAAGAAAAACACTTTATGGGAACATGATATACCGTTGTTTCAACAACGACAGCAATGAAATTGACAATGAGGATGAAGGAAATAGCGTAGCCAAAGTTGGGGCTTCGAACAAAGGCTCTCAGTTGTTGTGATAAGGCCGAATGGTAAATTTGTGGAAGGTTTTCAAAGAGAGATGGCTGCAACGAAAACACAGAGGATTTGCTAATGTAAACATATGGTGGAGATAAGTAAATATTGAAAGAGAAGAAAATAAAGTATATGTGGACTTACTACTTCCTCCTTTTGGAATCTTAGAGCAATGGCCTGGCAGAGGTCAGCAAACTCATCCTTGTTTATCTGCTCAACAGGAAACAAGAAAGGGGAAAAGAATCTGTTACTGGTCAAGAGGTTTATGTGAATAGTAATCTTAAGGTAGCCCTGATCATATGTGCCACCTCCTTAGCAGACTTCTACCTTAAAGTCACGAGTATCGTCAAGCTCATCAAATATCAATCCAAATTCTTCTTTTGATATCTTCGGCAAAGTCCTATAAGGACAAAGAAATGCATATCAGGTCTAACAAGTTAACACAATTAAAGAGAAGAAACCAAGACAAGTATATAAAAGCAGTATCCTTTTTTCATAAATAGGAAAAGATAAGAAAAATACGAAAGATCATAGCAACACACCTGTAATTAGTCAACTGTTCAAAGAGCTTAATGCATTGGTCCTTATCAATCTCCCCGTTTTTCTGTTAAAATATGAAAATAAAGAACGAAGAAAATATATGTTCAGCAAAGTGGTTAACAAAAACGCTCTTTCATGAAGATTCTTTCCCAAGGGGGAACTTCCCCGCATATCTATAGGAGTAAATGTAATCCTTATGCATGGATGAACTTACATCTGAGTCTATAAGACAAAAGGCTTTCTCCAGCATTCTTCTCTTCATTTGATCCATTCCAGAAACTTGCTTTGCGAGCTGCAAAAAGTATATATATGATATGAAACACGGAGTCGAATTATATTATTGCTTTTGCTTAAAAGTTGACATAAGAACCATACAAACATCAAGTATTTAATAATCCACCTGTTCTTTAAAACTGTCATAAACAACGGCAAGAATCAAGTTTGTGACAAAGTAGACACCAATTAGCACGTAGAGCACGAAGAACACCGAAGACCAGCGAGAAGACCTTACAGGACAGAACATATTAGTCACTAAATTACTGGATGCATCTCATTACAAGCAAACTGAGACGCAAATGGGATTTCACCTAATACTTACTTATATGCAGGAATCCAGACATCAGGATTGTTGGATGTTGTGAACAAAATAAACATCTGATAAAGAGTTGCACCATAAGAAGTGAAGACCGTGAGGCCCTGCTGTGTATCCTCAAACATAACGAAAGCAATCCAACTGGCAAATAGAAGGAACAACATCCATAGAGCCTGTGTAAATACTCAAAGAGTTAAAAATCATAGGATGACAATCAATCTATCACCATATCTGAAAGTCAAAAATGATTTGGAAGGCCACTGACCAGAATATTCAAGTATGTGCCAAGCATTCCAGACAGAAGGATAAGGGTGTCCCGAAGTTCCCTGTGCAGGATTTTAAAAAATCATAACTTTAGGGAATCTGATGAGGGATGTATCTAGTGGTTTAATAAGACGAAAATTAGGTGAAACAATCACACGTCTACATTAATCATACATGGCACCATCTACTCATTCTTTGTTTGTAGATATAAAGGACAAATTATGTAGTTGATAGAACATAAGTAGAGATCTATGGATACCTTATGCTAAGGATGAATATGATAACTCTCACGTATGGGGCGACTCTAAAAGGAAGAGTATCAAAAGCTAGAGGAGACAGATATAGAAAGTCAACCAGCACATCAACAAACAAAACTACCACGCAAGCAACCTGAAATCATGATGAAAACGAATTAAAAAAAAGAGGGAATTTCTTACTTTTTGATCAATTTACAACAAAAAAAACAAAAAAAGCAGGCACAAAACTGTGAAATTGGCTAGCAAGGAAATACCTTCACTAGATTCAGGCGACTTGTCCAAAAGATTCGGGAACCTTCATAGGATATCGGGAAGAAAGTATGTACAAGGAGTATAGCGAGGGTAATCACCTATTTGGACAGCGCAAAATATTATAATTTCAGCACAATGAAATAGGATCATGGTCATTCCTAATAATAAACACATCCAAAATAAGATGTGTGTGTTTGATATAAAGTTCTAAACAACTAATTAAACGAAACAAACTAGTCTTGAATAAATACTCAAGGTTTCTGAAGATTCAAGGAAAACAAGCATGAGGCAATTCAAGTTTTAAGTGGATGTATATGTATCTTATGTGCCCATCTACACTAAATCAATACATCTTTAGCGAAAATCAAAAGCAAATAAAAATTAAGTTCACCACTTGCCTCATAGATAATAGATTCTGCATTGGTCAAGTATGGTAACTCCCCCAGGTAATAGTACTCTCTGTCTTTGCAAGACGGTGTAGGCTTATTTTCACACCACAGTGGTTGCTGCAATAGACAAGGCAAGAGTGTTATTACTTTCAAGTTGTGATTTTCTCAATTTCTTAAGGAAGGTTGGCATATACCAAAGAAATGTCCTAACCTCGAAGAAGTTGAGGAAAAGCAGAGCGAAATAGTTGAGTGACCAGATCAGATCCAAGCGTGTGAAGATGAAGTAATACTTAGCAGACTCTCCAAAGCTCGACTGATCAAGTATTTGCTCAGGAAGACCAATACCATCTTCAGCCTAAATATATACCACATACTAGAGTCAACCCACAAATCCTTTTTGTCATATAAGATGAAAGGTTTCCCAAATCAGCAAAAAAAAAAGACAAAAGAGAACTTCACTGTAAAAGAAACAACAAACGTTTCAGACATAATAAAACAACAGATATCACAATTCCCACTTTCAACCAGAAAATGAAATGCTAATTTCAGACTTAATCAACTGATGAATACAACAGAATCTCTCTTTGGAGTCGAAATGATCCATTTAAAGAAGCATTTTATTTTTTTGAAAAGTCAAGAGGCAAAAGAATTCGAAATTATAGGGGGGGGGCAAGAGAAAAAGAGAACCAGATCAACGAGTGCAGCAGCTTTCTGAAACGGAGTACCATGAGCGATAGCTTCTGATCGACGAACTCGATCCGTACCACCACCACGACTATCTCTACCAATCAAAGGGTCTTCCATGTTTTTTTTCTCTCTCTCAGGCGTCTGGATCGAATCGAAGCAAAGCAAATGTGGAGAGACCTAGTAGCTTCCTCTGAGTGATTGACTCTAGAAAATGATAAGATCAAAGAGAGACAAAGATGATGATGGCCCAGAAGTAGTTGAATTTATTAATTTCAAGTATTCCCGTTATCAAACGATAGATCTCGCAGACAAACACGTTGATCCCTCGACGAATCCTTGCCACGTGGCTTTTAAATGCTTTTGTAAATTTTCTGTTTTTCTTCCCCAGTTTACACAGTTTTTAAACTTCTATAATAAAGGAACAAAAGGATCAGGATCCAAATAGAAAAGTCAAAACCGACAGAGTGGTGTTGTGGTCCTTTTAATTCAGATTTTGGATTGAATCTTTGTAGTAAATGAAAGAAAAAAGAATAAACTCAGAAAATGACGAGCAGAGAAACAGATAATAATAGACAAAAGGGGCAGTGGGATATGGCTAACGCAAAGCATCTCAAACTAAGAAGAAGAATCTGAAACTAGAAGGTGTGAAATGTGGCATTAGATAAAGCTCTGCAAAATGGCATTAGATAGCAAAATTAAATTAAACTAAAAATGCTCTAAAGCTCTACAATGAGAGAAGGAGAACAAAATACACAAAACCCTACTACACAAATGCTGTACCTTTTAGACAAAACCCATACAAGAATCAGAGTTCCCTCCACACACACTGACAATAAAATATCTCACTAACCCATCTAACCGAATAACCAACTTTCCCTTTCCTCCTCTCCAACTTCTCCACCGATCTGTTTGGAATATAAAAGAATAAATCATGAGCATCTAGCACTGAGTGTTACTTAAGACCAAACGAATTTAGGAAAGCTAACCTCCAGCTGATTCCATCGCCGCGTACCAATAGCTTTAAACTAACCATTTACTTAATGAGACCTACACAAGTTAAAAGCCTGCATCAGCGTGGAATTCAAGATTTATAAACAATCATAAAGTAATGTGTTCAGAACAATGAGCGTTACCGTTTTTTAAAACTTAGACATCGCCTTTTGATTTCTTCCCAGTGACAATCTGCATGATGCGAAGCCCTCTGCTAAAAGCTTCATTGAATAATATCCTCGTTTGCATTGATTGGAATCCAGGCATCCACGACAAGAACGCTACTGGAACCATTATGAGTATCCCGAACAATATGTCATACATGCGCGCAACAGAGACCACAGCGTTCCAGAAAACCCTGTACTTTGTCAGCCAACCCCTTTGAGTCTGTGCGATCAGCAGAATTCCCCAGCCGGTTGGGATGAATGCAAGAAGACTCGTGAAGATATCAATGAAGCTGAAATGCGTGAACTCTAGCAAAGCAACAATCACCAGTATAGCAAGCACGATCATGAGGAATTGGACTAGCCTGTACCGTATGTGAGCTTTTGCAGAATACTTGTCACGGGCATATTGGATTACTAGGAAGAGCACAAATATAGCAAAGATGTATATCCATGAGAACATGTAGACCAAAAGACTGGTAGATCCACTTGCAATTTTGAGCTGGTAAACAATTCCATACTGGAAGAAGAAAAACCTGAGGTCCAAGATGATCTCCACAATTTTTCCTGCCATCCCGGTGTTTCTCAGGTGGTCCTGTTCCTCATACCACCATTTTTCCCAGCTTTGTTCAGATTTCGTTGAGATTCTGCCTTGGTACCAGATCCAGTTCATAAAGTCTTCAAAGTCGTAGACTGTCTTAAGCCAGTCAAATCCTGATGGGTTGAACACAAATGGGGCCATTATCCATGAAATCACAAGGAACCAGCTGGTGAGAGTCATGGCTATGTAAATCAACGAGTCTTTGGCGACCGGACTGTGCGTTGCGTAGACTATGAGTATCAGCCCAAGCTCAATGGCCTTCACAAAGTGACTGCGTGCATACAATCGGTAGTTCTCAGTAAATCCCTTGTGCTCGACAACAAATCCACGTCCAGTAGCTCTATACTTCGCCCCACCATGGAGAATAGTTCGACCGAAATAGTGAGCTCTGGTCCCCATTGAGAATGTGTAAAAGACAGATGAAAGCTGAATCTGCATTCGAATGAAATTCCATATCGCCAGAAGGAAACCCTCCTCGAGAGACCATTCAACAATCATTGGCAGGGCAGTGAACAGACCAAGCTGAACGATGAACTGCTGGTTCAAGATCACCCCAAGCGCCGCGTTGGTGTCTGTACTGTCCGCTAGAGCAGACTTCTCAACCCCGCTGAGAGCCAGATAAACCCGGCCCCAGAGGAAAGCGTAAACAGTAAGAATGACCATCATCGTGTTGAAGAAAAACCCGACCGTTGTGTAGAAAAAGGACAACATTCTGAAGAAATCGAGCCTGTGACCGAGCCGGTACACATCTCGGCTAAGAACCTGCTCTCCATTCCCACTGGCTACCTTAGCCTCAAACATGGATATCTGATTCAATCCAACATCCCGACCCTTCCCAACCTGAATATATGCACAACGACAAAGGTTATGCAAATTGCATTGCATTAAGGAGATAAACAAGTCTAAAGTGCAAGATTATAACAAAAGTAGAATTATAGGATCGTTGTAGCATAGTTTGTCAAAAATAATCTAAACAGTGGACCCTTCCAACCTGAATATACTCGTGGTGGGTGACGTTTCCACCCCTCAATGTGCAATTAAACCCTGCAAAGATGTCCTCACTGATATTTATGACTCTGGAAGCCTTGCTGATGCCGCCTCGACTCAAGAACCAGAATCTGTCAAATACATCAGGGTGGCCATAATGCATTCTAACCTTCAGCGGGTTTGCAAGAACACGCTGACCAAGAGTGACAAAACTTGTCTCCTGAGCAGACATGAACCACGCCAGCGACGAGACTGAGCCTGTGAAGATATGCTCCCGGACACCAAGAATAGTTGGTTTTCTGATCCCATGATAATGTTTGTACTCCTGGAGCAAATTTCTCATCTTGAGAGCTTCCTCAAAATAGCTGTCTTGGTTCATATCAATGGTCTGAACAGCATCACCACGGGTAAAAATCATTGCATGATTCTGGTTCTCCGGCTTTCCCTCGCCCAGCTTCACCGGACCAGGTAGCTTCACTCGGAATATCTCCACTTCCTTCTCCAACTGGTGATCGTATTTCACCAGAACAGAGTAATACTCAGTCTCTTCTCTTCCAGCAGGCACCTCATCCACATATGCAATACGGAGAGCTTCGTTCTGTTTCATCAGATACAGAATTTCCTCTGCCTGAGGCTCCTTCTTTGCTTTTTGAGACCCATAGATCTGGCATGCCACAACATATGTGAATTTCATCAATGCAGTCCCATACTCATGGCCTTTATACAGCGTACTCACAGAACTACTTGCTCTGCTCAAGGACGATCGGTCGTTTTCAGAGACAACCCCATCAGATCGATCACCCAGTTCTCCCTGCAAACTCCTCACAGAACCAAGCTCCTGAGCACCCTCCCGAATGTCCATTTCAGATGCAGAGTCAAGAAAAGCGAGCATCTTAAGAGCTCGGTAGTAGTACATCATCCCCCGAACTGTACGTGCCAATGTCTGACCTCTGTAGGAAGCCCAAAGCCTGAGCTCTCTCAGCTTGGTTGTCCACAACTCGCTATCTGTCTTTATTCCCTCCCTATGCATCCGTTCCTTGAAATTTCTCCATTCATCAGCATAAATTGTCTGCAGGTAGTATAGGGTTGAAATCCCATCTTCAGTCTCATTTCGGAGCTGTTCTTTGCTGTATACAACTTCCTCACTGTAATATGGAGTCAGAACACTGAACGCCATCATCTTCTCAACCTGAGGTGCATGAGGCATGTTCATGAAAAGCGAATTACTGAAGAAAGCAATCCGCCGTCTCGCCTCTAAATTCACGGGAACACTGTGCATAGAGTCTCTAGAGGTGAGAATCGTGTGTAAGCGCCTAACCTGCCGGTAGAAGTCTTCATTGCTTGCATCAGGAAGCCTAATAGCATTCTGAAACAGTAACTTTGAGGCTGGGTCACGAGGAGTCAACCCTTCATTAGACAGCTGTTCAGTTGTCTTCTTCTCTGTAAAGAACTGTCGAGTTGCGATCTCATAAAGAGACTGCAGAACATTCACCACCCGACCACCATCCTTTTTCTCATCATTCAGCAGCCCAACCAACTTCTGCAGTGTTTCGTAAATCTTTGGCAGCAGGTCTACTCTAAAGGTCTTGACGAAATTCTCTGACTGAATGGAAAGATCAATCATCTGAAAGAAGACCGTAATTATCGAATGTTCTTCAGTGTCAGTTTTGATGATCGAGAGCAAAAGATGTTTGATGCTGTCATATGCCTCAACTACAGCACAACGCCTGTATTCATTCTTGCATATTTTGTGCCACATCCATTTATCAGGAGCGTCTACCAGTTCTCTGGCCTGGCTCAGTGCAAGCAAAAGCTCATTGCACAACAAGAAACATGGCCAGCGAATAACCGTCACATTCCAGGAATTTTTTGGCAGCTCCAGCAGCTCTACTTCTCGATCAGACACTATATCTTCTTCTCTGAAAGCTAAGATGATTTCATTCCAGATCAACGCAAACTTGTTGGCCTCAACCTGATTCGACTCGAGTTTTTTAAACGGCCGCCCAAATCCATACCTTAGCTTCAATCTGCAAACAGTACACAGCCTCAAGGTTATTATGATATTGTACAATTGAATTAAATGCAGAGAACCTGCTTTAACAGAAGTAAAATTTCACAGCTTGTACAGTCAAGTCAAGTCAAGCGTTAAACAGGAATATCAGTAGCATGCTTCCACAGACTGACCTATGAATGCCGTCCTTGAACTTATTACCAAAGCCTCTAGCATTCAGGAGTTGTTCCTCAGGCATTAGGTTGAACTGAATAGCGCTAGCAAAGAATTGAAACCTCAACCTAAGCTGTCCCATGTCCCTGATCTCCCCCAGATGATCAAACAGCCCAACAACAGCACCAACAATTGAAGAATATATTGCATACCAAATTTGAATATCCATCAGATATATCAACACAACGGGCAACCATAACAATGCGACAGAAAACCTATTGCTGTCACCAAAAAATTGATGCCACTCATAGTCTAAGTCCTTTAAGTTCCATAGCAGCTTTGAGGGTTTAATCATTGGCTTAACCTGGAGGAAGTAGCTAAATGTGAACTTTGTAGCTAGGACAAAAATCCAGAAAGTCGAGTACTTAATGTTATCCACTAAACCCTCTCTCAAACCTCGACCTACAAAGCTTTTGCCCTGAAACCACCAAGTTAGAGCAAAGAATATTTTCCAATTGGTCTCTTCCAGAAAGTTTCTCATCCATGGGATTATAAACAAAGCCAAAGCCAGAATTTCGGGCACCAAGAAGGCCACCACAGCGTAAAGGAATTGGTAGATCTTAGTCGTTGCGGCATTGGACCACTGTCTGTCTTGCCTCTTCTGCTTCCAGATGTTGATGTAAAGTACTGTAAAAGCTATGATCCAAACTGTGGCAGCTATAACCTTCATCAGCATTCTGAAAAAGTGCCGTTTGGTCTCTCTCGAAATGAGGGGAAATTGTGAAGCCGCGTCCAGCACAGCCTGCAAGAGTCTCATACCACTCCAGGTCAAGAACACGGTCAAAAGTCTCACCTGAACATCTTTTGCCTTCAAAGCATTCCATAGCTGCACTGTCACCGACTTATCCTCAGGTTTTTCCTCCCAAGCTACAATAATGGCGGCTTGAAGAAACAAAGCTAGCATCACCCAAAGCCGATCAAAACTCCTGTATAGGTAGAAGAATGTCCTGCGCTCCACAAAACCAGTTTTCCCTACACTTTTGCCTCTACTCTTGAAAAAATTGCTTCCCAAATCAAGCGGCCATTTCAATTTGCTGAAACATCGATCCGTCCAGAAGTACTCATTGATATCGTCGTAGTTTCTCCACTTACAATGCGCAACTGTACCGTTCTTGCTCTCATCAATCTCAGCTTGGATTGTATCGTAAATAGGTTTAACGACCCCGATTAAGAAAGCGTTTTCGCCTGAGATAGAAGGCAAAAAAGGTTGACCGGTGTTCTCATCGAGGCAGTCCTCTAAGATTTTGTTGAGCTCCGAGGCCATGTTATGGAAGATGTAACAAATACATTCAGGCATAAACCTAAGATTCGCGGCCTCTCCCCATATGAGAAGATAGAGTCCAACATAGAGAAGCTCACGTCTCGAATCAGGGTTCCGATCTGAGATCCAGATATTTGATTTTTTCCCCAAATACGAACACCAGCTAGAGTAGTTACCAAGAAGTTTCCGACGAAACCGACGAACAACAGCGGAATCGAGAGAATCAATATTATCCGGCGGCGGAGAGAGACGCATCTGAGCATTCGCGAGATGAAGCACCATATGTTCACGCTGGTTACGAACGTTATCCTTCTGGAAACCAAAGAACAAGGCGAGCCAGTCGAGGAGATCGTAGTGAGAGCGCCATTGAACATACGGCGGACGACGAAGGTCCCCTACGGTTTTAAGAGCAGCGGCGGCGGCACGAACCTCGGGAAACCGTAAGGAAGGATGGTCGGCGAGGAGATTGTTAACGGGAATGATATTATAAGGCTCCTCTTCGATTCCGGCAGCATCCGCCGCCAACGGCCGTCCGGTTTGCGGCGGGACGGTGCGGTGGCGGAGGCTCATAGTAGCATGTAGTAGATCTCGGAAATTTCTGGGAGAAAAAGCTTGAGTGAATCAACAACAATGGAGAGAAATCGAAACGAGCGGTGCGGTTCTTCGTTTTAAGCTTGAAGACGGCGACAACGACAACGACGACGAGACGATTTTGCCTCCTTTCCGCGTTTCAGTTTCTTCCACTTTTTTTACTTTCTTTTTTTGCTGGCTTTAATTTGTATTTTTAACCAATATAATTTGAATTTTTCCTTTTTCTTAAAGATCCTTTTACATTAATATATATATATATACTTAAAGCATTACCTAAAAAATGATTATACTAATGATCAAATTCTTTATATGTTTATGGTTTTATTTAACAAAATTTAAAGATTTTATCCTAATTATGAGATTTTGTTAATTTTATATACAGAAATTATTATTTTTGGTGCTTATACTTGATAAATATTGATTATTGGATAAATGATACATTTTTTAAGTTTTAAATGCTTATAGGAAATTTCTTTGTATATTTTAATTCAACCTTTATAGTTTCCTTACTATATAAGTTAAGAAACAATATTTAAAAAAGTCATCACAAAGAAAGAAACAAAAAAAAAAGACATTAATGTGGATTTGAAAATCTGAAATTAATTCATAATCTTGGATCTCCCAATATTAAGAGCTTTTATAATTTGTGCGCAATGCTTTACAGATTAATATGCTTATTAGTAATAAGATAATGTGTTGATCGTTAGACGTTTATTAATTGTAATAGTATAAATCAATAATATTAGTGTCATTTAATAAATAATTGACGTAAATCCATCTTTTACAATAAAATGAAAATCATTTATAAATCTACCCGTTCTAGTATTTTTTAAATATTTTTCTGCCTACAAGTCTATTGATGTTGTTATAACTTTTTTATGGTTCTTTTTCTATAGACATGTTGATGATGGTTAAAAACTTAAAAGTTCTTAATATAACAACTGTATTTTGTGGTCACAAAATTATCTTATAAATGTAACAATTATGTAAAAGTTTGTGATTAGTCAAGATTTTATGCAAGAATATGGTTAATCACCTGGTCAATATTACACGGAGAAGCAAAAGACCTTCGCATTCGTATATGTCTCCAATATTAAAACCTGTCATATTCGTAAAATTGACTTATATATCTTTCTGATTTCAAAACCTAACCTTTGAGCATCAGTGATACACGAAAAAGCAAAAATGTAATCTATGAAAATCATATAATAAAATTCGAGCCAAAGCAATATTTGTTACTAATAATACAAAAATGAGATACAAGTGGAGCGTTTTATTTCATAAACAGCTGGAAAAGTCATTGAACGGCAAATGCGACCGCTTTGGACGCTAAAATAAGAACCCTAATAATAATAATTCTCATATATTTGCTTTAAAGTTTTTAAATTCAATTGGATTCACATGGGACCTTTCTCCCATTTTCATAATAATTTGTTTCATCAAAAAGATAGAATGTCCCATTCTCGAATTATTATATTTATATATATCCCAAAGCTTATAAATTCTCGCTAAATACAAAATTAATAAAAAACTGTCATAACCAAACAAATTGACGCGTTGAATAATATGACCAAATCGTACCGTCATTTTTTCTTACTATATTAATTTCTTACCGATTTTTAGAATTTATTAATTTGTTTCATACTAGATATAATATATTAATTGATTTATAAATTATAGATCCTGACCTATTAAAAACTTCTCTTTCCTCCCTCCGAAGTATTCTCCCTTCTCTCTCCTCAAGAAGTAGCTCAAGACATCGTTGCTTTTTGGCCGGAGATTAACGTTCGGTGGCTCCTTTAGCACCAACGTTGATTCTCCCATTAGTTTTATTTGCTTTTGTTGTGTTTCGTTTTTAGTCTATGGGGTTGTTGCAAGTTTCTTCTTCAGAGATTCAATGGTGATTTTTTTGGCCTTCCAACCAATCAACCCACCGCCATCCATAATCGCTTTTGTGGTTGGTGTTATGGTAAAGGCAGCTTTTTCCAAGCTTTCTCCACTCGAACCAACATCGAAATCTGGGTGAGATTTGATGTTTCTTGACTCCTTCATACCGGATCTAGTCGATTACATATCGTCTTCACCGGCATGCAACTTTTGGCGGTTTAAATTCCCTCTACCGAGGTTCCGTCGTGCCATTCTTAGGTAGATCAAGACCTCTAATTTTCGAAGTCTACAAATTATCAAGCGAGGACTACAAGACCAGAAGTTCAAGCCAATACATCTGTGTTCCAGAAGTCTCTAGATCAACTTCCGATCTTGAAAATAACCAGTAAATTGAAGAAGAAAGAAGCAAAGTGATAACATTCATAGTTTTAATGTTTATAAGCTTAGTGTATCCTGATTATTCGGAAAATCGTTTCGATAATTAGGTTTTGATTCCGGGAGTTTTCTTTATACTCGCCGGCTTTGTGTCCGGAGGGGTTTTTACCCTTGTCGGCTTTGTGCCCGGAAAGATTATGATCTTTGCCGGCTTGGTATAAGTTTATCGATGTGCCTTTGTTTAGGTTTTTAGCCGTATCCTGTGTGGATATGTAATGTTTGTCTTTTATGACATATCAATAAAATTTCTTATGGGAAAAAAAAAAAAAGATCCTGACCTAGTCAAACGACCAACCCAGTATTTAAAAAGACAATCAAGTGAATCTAGTCATCTTCTACTATTTTTAACACTTCAGATATTTATTTTCGAGTTATTATAATGCTCTTCTCTGGGACTATCTGTATATTGAATGTTTTAAAATAATATGCATGTGGGATTGATTTATAATCCCATAAGGTGGAATCTTCCTTTTGGTTCTGACATTCAACAAATGGTCGCATGTGCTTTCAGCCTTTCACAAAGCATTGAAGAAACACACACACGATTTTATAGCAACTTTAACGCTACATTCTCCGATGACGGTTTTGTTTACCACAACTGAACAAGTGTCCGATACTAAAATAGTTTGGATACCTACAACTTCACTCATCTCTTGAGTCTTGAGCTAACTCTTCTTATAGTCCTTAAACTATAATAACGCAGTATACAAATTTTAAATTGTTTCTTAATAGTTTTAGTATTCCATAATCCGTAAAGGAATCTATAAAAAGCCATGAAAATTTCGACACGTAAATAGAAATTACACAAACACAATACACAAACTACGTCTCAAGTCGACATTGAGCTAAGGTTTAAGGTATTAATTTGTGTCTATGAGAGACGTAAAATTAGATGGATACTCGAGGAAAAAAGGGGAAAAAAGGTTAGATTCAAGATTTCTGAAGGAGAAAAGGGTCGACGACGGAGTGGAGAGAATACAAGAGTAAGAAGACGTAGAGGACGAGTGCCACGAAACCGGCGATTAGAGCTCCGGTGATCTGATCGCAGAACTTTGGAACTTGGCCGCAAATCGGAAGCCAACCTGCGTTTGCGTTTCCCTTCTTTCCCACTTGTGCCACTGCTAGTGCTGCCGATAAGCTTGACGTCAGTAGCATTGTCATCACCTTGATTAGTTAATGAAAACAACAAATTAATGTAACAAAACTTATAAAAGTAAACGCATTAATATGTTTTAGCTAAAATTAAAGTTGCAATAATTTGTTGATATATTTATTTAATCGTCACTAGTCACTACACTCTAATTGTTACGTAAAAAATCGAAAACAAATGAAAGAGTACACCCGAATTAAAACTCAGGTGCACAAATAACGCAAACTGAACGTGAACCAATGATATATTTATACAGTAATATCATAATCTTTAATTCTTGAACTACACCATATGGATCAATATTTACCGAGAAAATGACAAAATAGTTGTGAAAAATTCTCACAGTAAATCTATTTTTTTTATTTACTACACTATCACAGTAAATTTTCTCATTGCATTTTGTTGCCAATAAATAATGTCGCTAATATGAGATGAAATTTCGATGAAGATTTTTAAATAAAGTTAACCAGAAATTAACGATGTCAGTTTAATTAATTAAGTAAATGAATGCATGGATGGAAAAATACAAAATGTTACCAAATCCAAGACGACGACGAATTTCCAAAGCAAACTCTCCTTTGGAAGAAACAGAACCAGAAAGCTGTAAACAGTCACGACAGCGTTTGCGATCACAAAATACCTGCGAAATTAACATATTCACATAAGTCTCCATAAGATGTATAACAATGAACACATAAACAAAAAATGAAAAGTTTGTGTACATACTTAAACGAGGCCATGTCGGTGTACTTAGCTTCAAGAGAGACGGCGAAGAAGGAAGCTCTCTCGTGGCTAGTGACCATAACTACCACGGCTGCAAGAGCTGCACCAAAAGCTGCCAATCGCAGCACAAGCCCTCCTATTCTCTTCGTCAACTTCACCATCGATCGTTCGATTAATGTAGATTTCAATTTCTAAAAAAAAAAGTTTATATGAAACAGAAGAAACTGTAAGAACAAAAAAACATTGGAGAGAAGTGTAAGAATACGTACGAACACATAAACTCAGTAAAGTAACTAGTTGGTAATCAACGATATATATATATATATATATATATATATATATATTAGTTGAGTGGGATGTGTTTGTTAGTTGAGATTTTTCAACTATATTCACCGTCACCGTCCGATTTTTCAACGCACGACATCTTTCTCTTTTGTTCTCTTTAAGACATGTGGAGCTACAAAACAAATTATGTATTTCTTTTTATTATAAGTTGTTTCATTGGAATAAATTATAAAAATATTAACTTTGAACCGCACATAATGACAGAATGTATACAGAAAATCCAAAACTGATGTCATGGTGGTGAATCTATATATATATATATATATTCTGTTTTGTCATTGGTACAGATTATAGAATACGTATAACAATGTTAGTTGTAATATTATTTTCCTTTTTTTTTTGTTCATGAAAATGAATGTTCTATACTTAACTGTCAATTTCTAAACTCGCATGGATTCTAGTTTTTTCAATAATGTGTTGTTTTACAAATTGTGTGTGTTTTGAGTGTTTATTTTGAATAATATATAGTTTATAGAAAAAAACTGGGATAATATAACAGTTGATTCAAACTATATACATAGTTGCGAATTAAAGATGTCACTGTAATGACAGATGTTGTAGTTTCTATTATTATTAGATTCATGAACGATGACATCATTGAAGAAACAAATATCGAAGTTTTTCATTGAGCCGTTGTCCTAACTTATAGGTGTATCTTCGGTATGTTTTGTCTGCTAGGGGACTCGTATTAAAGTTGACATTTTGATTGGACACAATCGAATGTGTCTGTATCGATATTCTTGTCAACAGTGTATATGCTGATAGTGTTTACCAACAACAAGTCCTTTTTATTTAAAATTATCACGTTTAGTAGCAATTTTAAATCTTAATTCTTTCTGAATATATTGATTTAACATTGCTTTAAATGAAAAAAAAAGTCAGTGAAAAGCAAAATTAGAGTTGTGTTGTATGACTTTATATGAGTTTATCGAAATATGTAGAGAAGTAAGTATCTTGAAGTGGGTGACCTATTAAAAAAAAAGTGTTTTCACATAAAGAGAAGACATTGAACATTCTCCTATGTTTAGAATATAATCCAATTATAGAAACTAGCTAGTTTCAAAATAGTTTAAATCTTGTGTCGTTTTTCAAATTTTTTGTTTGTTTTGGTTTAAACTTTAAACCATATACAGTGTATATTTACGAGAAGAATTTAGCTGTCAAATATGAAAGATCGTTTTTTTTTCTTTTTTTTTATATGAAAGATCGTTATATAAGTCCGTTTTAAAGAGCTAAATTTTGAATAGCTGACACTTAGAAATTATAAAATGGGCTTAATATAAGCCCATTAGGATATCTCAAAAGCTTCCTAATATAAGCCCATTAGTATATCTCAAAAGCTTCTCGGGCTTACAGATTGTACGTCAGAGCAGGATCTTACCCAAACGAATCAATTTTTTTTAAAAATACTCCTTATTTTTTTTTAATTTTTTCTATATATCATTTTTCGATTTTTATCGCGACCGTATTCTATGTTTTTGAGTATTAAATATTTTTACTTCTCTTTTTTTTTTCCGAAAATATTGAAAAAAATAAATAAGCAAAATTTGTTTGTTTTCAATGTACATAAAACAAAAATATAGCTATCAGTTTCACTTGTATTATTCCTCTTCCATAGTTTCGTTATCTTTTTTTAATTTATTTTCTATCTGGATATTATTTTTACACTTGGGATTAGGAGAATCTCTCTCTCTCTCTCGTCCTTCTTCTTCTTCTTTCTCTCTATCTAGCCATGGCTGCCTTCACTTGTACCACTCGTCCTCCAATTTCTCTCCGTTCCGATACTAAAATCGTATCCTCACCACCACCGTCTGCTTCTCTCTCTTCTCGGCGGATGTTCGCCGTGTTACCGGAATCGTCAGGTTTGAGAATCCGTCTTTCCCTTTCTTCGTCTTCGTTGACCTCGATTCATCATCCTAAGGTTTCTCCACTACGAAGAGCCGTCGTCTGTGAAGCTCAGAAAACTACTACCGATAGTATGTTGTTTTCTCACTCTTCCCTTGTTCGATTTTTATTTTTTTGGTTATTGACTTTGCTTGATTCGTGATTGTTCATGGATTTTAGTAGTTTGAACTGATTTTGTGTTGATGATTGATTTGTGTGAGGGTGAAATTAGAAGTGAGGTGCTCGAATTCGTGTTAGTAATTTGTAATCTTCAGCTATAAACCTTTGCAATTAGTTTACAGATTACTGAATCTGGAGGAAGAAGAGTTTGGTTATTAGGAGAGTATGCGTTTTTGAGAAATTTTCTGCTGGAAATGAGGGTTTCTGTTAAGAGGATCGATTCATGCTGGTTGCGTGAATATTGAAGAAAGTTGCATTTTTAGGATCTCTTCTTTTTGTGGATATTTTTTGGTTGGGAAATGTATATTTCTCTTTTCACAATTCTTAAGTAGAACACCATCACAATTTGGTTGGGTACCTACTCAGATACCACTTTTATTGGTTGGATCATATACACATTGTGACAAGAAACAGTTTTTTTGCTCATGAGAGTACAATGTGCTTTAGAGTAAATATATAGCTTTATCAAGTGTGTTGCTATTCTGAGATTATGTTTTATATCGATTGTGAAACACATGTGTACTCCGTTGTCAAGATTATGTTTAGAGAACCTTTCTCATCTAGATTACTATAGTAAAGGATTAGATACAACATACCCATTTGGCTGAAGATCGATAAATTGGTCAGCTGTCTGTTTGGTTAACTCATGAAGCATGTTATTCTTTTATCTTCTTGGCTAATTTTTGTTGGTTTCTTTCATGAATTTAAATGGTTTAGCTATAACTTATTGATATGGGTTATTGATGCTTGCAGTTACAGTGGTCACTGACTCAACATGGGAGTCTCTAGTTCTTAAGGCAGACGGGCCTGTATTGGTTGACTTTTGGGCACCATGGTGTGGACCTTGCAAGATGATTGACCCGCTCGTGAATGACCTAGCACAACATTACACTGGGAAGATCAAATTCTACAAACTAAACACTGATGAATCCCCTACAACCCCAGGCCAGTACGGAGTTAGAAGCATCCCAACGATCATGATATTTGTCAATGGTGAGAAGAAGGATACAATCATAGGTGCAGTGCCCAAAACCACTCTGACATCTAGCCTTGATAAGTTCTTGTGATGAAATTTTACTTTTGAGTCTGTAAGATCTCTTATCTCTGTCTCTCTCTCGTTGTTGTTCTCTCTGTAACGCAGCTTTCTTTATAGCAGCTATCTGTTTCTTCAACTGTATCTTCTTCATCACTGAACATCTAGAACTGGATAAATAATATGATGTCATGTCTTAATGTGAATTTTTATCGGTTTGAAGATGTTTAGAGATGCGGAACTAGTGAAATCAAAGATCAATCTTGGATTAGGCTAATGCTACCTCATTACACAAAACATTTTTGGTCATGAAAGGGATCTTAAGATTGCTAGGTTCTGCAACTTTTTTTGATGAGCAAACACACGCTAAGGTTTGTTACATACTGTATTCTTAAACTCTTCTTAATCGTATATTATTAGATTATTGTATTCGGTGATACCTCTACTCCGTATTACGCAAAGGGGCTAAAGGTTTTATTCATTTCTAAAGAAAGATTTAAATAAAACTGAAAAAGAAAAGAAAACTCAATATCGATCCATATTTACGTTTGAAATATCTATTTGTAATCGTTACATATTTTATTATTTATGATCTATATCCATAAATTGAGCAAAGAAGTTTATGTGTACCCAATTTATGGACAAGGATGTGTCAATTAGGACAAAATGAATAAAACCCAAAAGAATTGAAGTGTTTGGACTGATCCACAGTTCCCGACAAAAATTTGGGGGTTTTAGAGTTGTTTGTCCGGTAATCCGACCCAAACCAAGTTAGAGTTGCTATGGACATTATAAATAAATTAGAAATCTCCACAAGATAAATCATATGATAAGTTCATGAAGTTTAAGTGTTAGATTGCCAAGAAAAATTTCAGATATATCTCTAAACCTCGTTGGACTATGCACATGGTTGCACAATTTAATAAGTTGAATAGGTTGAAAAACATTTCCATCTAACTTTCACCGATTGAATTACAAATGTTGAAAGAATTACTCTACTCGTTCAACTTAAAAAATTAAAAAATTAAAAAAATAAACAAATTATAAAAATGTTCAATTTGTTCACACACATTTTTGGAGATGAAATGGTTGAATGATATTCATTCCAGTTTGATTCAACTTAATATTTGTAACCTATTTTATTTTTTTACACTCTTTGTAGCAAGTTCACTATATATAGTTAGGAGACTTAGACTCAGTTCAATCGACCCTGTTAAATCTTAAATCTAAGACGTTCTTTACATATAGAACAAGCCGAAATCGGATAAGCAACATCCAAAACGGATTTTTCTAGCAAGAGCCGTTAAAATATAATGTTGTTCTTTGTATCCATTTGCATTGTCGAAGAAAATAACATTTCCATATAATATCAATAAACAAATTGCGTTTGCCGACAAAAAAATGCGCAGCAAACTGATATGAGGTAGAATCATGCATGTTCGTTTTGGTTTTCATCTTTGAAAAAACCAAAAGTTACGGCGGAAGGCAAAAACATCAGGCATTGAACTTAAATCGTAAATTGGATGAAACCTTTTCTATTGGTGATGTCTTTCTTTTTGGTTGTTGCTGAAGATAAGGTCATAAGAAAGGTGCACTCCGGTCATATAATAATACTATTATCATAACCCATTGGACTATTCTAAATGCTCGTGATCTTTGTTTGTATGAACTTTAGCGACCTTAAGAAAGTCACGAACCTTCATAAATAGAACATAAGAATAGCATGATTGAAACTGGAACGTAAAGTGTGAAGAAGTATTGAAACAAGTCAAGTCAATATAGAAATTAGAACAAAAATGCGAAAACATTGAAACAAGCCAAAGTCAATATCGGACAAACTTCCGTGAAACCTAACTCCCACTTGAGGTTCTTAGATTGTTTGAAAAGACATACTTGTATGAAGACTTTAGTTTGATCGATGTTTATAATATTAACAAGCGGACAACGTTTCAATCATTTGATTTTGATTGTCGGCCATATTCTCCTACCAAACGACGAGTTGCAGTTGGATCAGATGAATAACAAAACATTGAAACGGTGGATATATATATGTTTCCGAATATTCAAATGTTCGGTTAAGATGAACACTAGCTTTTTCTAATATTTTCAACGAATAAATTATACACAACGGAACTATATATCATTGTTTCACTTCATGCATGTTTCACGATGCATATGTTTTCATACCTATTTAAACACAAATATCATGTAATAACACAATTACAAATGTATATATATATTGACAGAAATCAAAAACTAAATGGAAGTTGATAGTCAACATTATCAATAAAAAAAAAAAAGTTTAGTTTTGTAGCGAAGATTAAACAAACACACAAGTTTATTTATTCTTAATTAACATTGCATTAAAGAAGGATAAGAAGAGTTGATCCGAAGAAAACCTGAGAGATGTTTACGTGTTGAAGATGAATAACGACGTTCTAATAAAGTTTAAATAACCACTAATTAATCTACACAAGTACTTAACGTGTATCATGAAACCATTGAATTAATAATTGAAAACCAATCACACCAAATAATTTTCCGAAGAAGGAACTAGTCCACGCCTCAGGAGAATTAGTCCGATGATATATATCTAACAAATCCTCATTCATTATAGTTTGTTTTTGTTTTGCGCCTAATCACTTAAAGATTCGGCTATTAGATTATGGTTTAGATCGAACGGTTTATGATACCATTACGTTAAACACTCTTAATACGTATACTAGAGTATTTTGGTTTAATGCAATGTAGATTACAATTTGAAAGGTCTACATAACCGTTCACTCTAAACCATATCGGCTTCCAATTTATTTAAAGAAACAGTAGTATAAGTGTATAACTCAAGAACAATTAATAAAATAAAAAGTTCCCCACAAAGCAAAACAGAGAATGCGTGACTCTTGAGGTTTGTTTAATGTGAGATGAGAGCTCTCATCGTCGTTAGCTGTGAAAGGTCTGACGCAAAGCGTGAAGAGAGCCCATCTCCAACCTCTCATTACTCCTTTTTTTTTTTTCTCTTTTTTGAGTTCTTCACTCCAACCAATCACCACCTTTCTCACTAAGATTTCTTTATCAATTTAGTAGTAGTAATTAAGAAATTGTACTAGTGTTAATTAATCATCATCCATTGGTCAGTTAACTTACTCCTTCCATGTACATTGTTCTCTCTTGTCGACCATTGATTAACTTACTTAAACATGTTGAAATATTTGGTGCTTAATTTGATTGGAATCTAAATTTTTGTTTAACATTGGCATTTGTTGACTAAAAAGACAAAAAAATATTGGCAATTATGAGTTGGGGATATATTCACAAAATTTTGACTTGTGAAAAACGTACAAATAATTTTTATTTATTTATCGCTTACCTTACAAATGTGCATACAATTTTCTTTTAGTGGGGTGAATGCAATGCACCTAACAAAGAAGTGGTATGACATTTGTGACACGAGCGTTAACACATCATGAAATGGTCCTTTTGTTTTCCCACTCAACCAAATTACTTGAAAAAGATAAAAAAGAGTGTTTTGTGATACAAGTAAACTCTATTATATCTACTAGTAGTTTACCATAACAAAATACTCTTAAAAAAAAAAAAAAAAAAATCCAATAGAGACGTATTCTAGTTGTAGAAGTAAAATCTCTTGATATATCCTCAAGTATGTTAAAAATTTAAAAGTTTTCTATTTTTAATTTTTTTTGGATAATGTATTACTTCTACATAAAGATTTGGTGTTTATGGAATATGTGGATTGGCTTCTATTTTTGGTTATGGTATGTAAATTTGCATATATCTAATATTTGATATGTTTCCCAACATATAAAATGTTTTTCACTGTATCATCGTCGTATAAAAGTCTCTGCAATTTGACACTATAAAATTAATAGACGGTCTTAATAAATTAATAAAAAATCTAATTGATATTTTAAATAACCAAATTTTGAGAGGTTAATATTTAATTAAATATTTGATGACATAGAAAACCACTAGCTTATAAAAAAACCTCAGGCGAATCAATATACTAATTAACTTGGATATTTTTTTTTTTTATAGATATACAAAACAGAAAAGAGAGTTATCTAAAAAATCACATCGCCACGTCAGTGAAGAGATCATTACGTTCTCGATTTCGAGGCATCATTATTATTATATTAAATTCTTTTGGGTCTTTGCTTATTTATTCTTCACTGTCTCTCTCTCTTCCTCGTCTCGGCTTCTACAAAAACCAGATTTTTTCCTCTCCGCTTCTTCCTCTCTCTCTCTCTCTCTCTGGGTTTAATATCTTTTCTTCTCTGCTCACAAATCTATAAATCAACCATTGACACAGTTTCTTAGGGTTTCCCTCAAACGCCGCCGATTCTCTCTGGTTCGTTTCCCTGAATCTCTCTCTCTCTCACTCTTCATAGTTCCTTCATATATACGTGTCTTTGCGTACACACACACATAAATGTGTATCTCTGACTCCAGAAATTTCTCCGTCTTTTGATTTGGGTTTTTGTTTTTTTTTTCCCTCTTTAGATATTTTTGAATTGGTGTTGAACTTTCGTTAAGGTGGTGAGTTTTGTTGTGTCTCTCTGTTTCTGCTAAGTCTTATATAATCCAGTCGTTCTCTCTTTTTGTCTTTCTTGGTGGGTTTGCGATAAATTTTTTATCGGATTTGTTGTTTTCTTAAGCTAATATTTGATCCGACGATGATGATCAAGTTTGTATTTTGATGATCGAGTTACGAGTCTTTGGAATATTCTTTACTTCCAATTCCAAGGTTTTTAATCTGTATAGCCAAAACCCAGCTCGTGTTGAATCTGGACTTTTTAATGATTTCGTCGGTTTCTAAAATTTCAAATTTTTAGGGTTCTTATAGATTTAAAGGGTTTAGGTCCTGTGTGATTTTTGGAGTTTTGGGTTTTTTTAAATCCTTTTCTGAATAACCTAATTCCCATCTGGAAGTAAATAGGCTATCTTTGTGTGTTTCACTTGTAAATTTTATTGATAACTACGTTTGTTGTTTGTATAAGAAAACTAATGCATTCATCTTGATCTAATGCTGGAAAAAAACACTTTTTCTTTTTTCAGGATTTTGACCAATGGCCTTGGATCAATCTTTTGAAGATGCTGCAGTACCGGGAGAACTCTATGGGGAAGGTGCATTTTGTTTCAAGAGCAAGAAACCTGAACCCATCTCTGTCTCGGTTCCTTCTGATGATAGCGATGATTCGAATTTCGACTGCAATATTTGCTTAGACTCTGTGCAAGACCCAGTTGTGACTCTCTGTGGTCACCTCTTCTGCTGGCCCTGTATTCACAAATGGCTTGATGTACAGAGTTTCTCGACAAGTGATGAATACCAAAGACATAGACAGTGTCCTGTTTGTAAATCTAAAGTGTCTCATTCTACTCTGGTTCCTTTGTATGGCAGAGGCCGTTGCACAACTCAGGAAGAAAGTAAAAACCTTGTGCCTAAAAGACCACTGGGACCAGTTTACCGGCTTGAGATACCGAATTCGCCTTATTCTAGTGCCGACCTGCGGTTATCACAACGGGGTCATTTCAATAGCCCACAGGAAGGTTACTACCCTGTCTCAGGGGTGATGAGTTCCAACAGTTTATCATACTCTGCTGTTTTGGATCCAGTGATGGTGATGGTTGGAGAAATGGTAGCTACTAGATTGTTTGGAACACAAGTGATGGATAGATTTGCATATCCGGACACTTACAATCTCGCTGGGACAAGCGGGCCGAGGATGAGAAGGCGGATTATGCAGGCGGATAAATCACTGGGAAGAATCTTTGTCTTCTCTGTGTGTTGTGTTGTTCTGTGTCTTCTCTTGTTTTAGGTTCTCATAGATAGGTTGGTTCTACTGTTCACTTTTAAGTGTAAGGAAACATAGTCAAAGAAATGTACATTTGTGTTGGAAACAAATCAAAGTTGCTTAATGTTGAGGAGTTTGTGCTGGGTTACATTTTGTGTAGTTTTGGTCTGGAGGATAGTGCCGTCTAAGATTAGAGGCCATGTTAATGGGCCTGATTAGCACGTGTGTATACCTTAGCCTATGAGGAGAAAAATAAAACTTGGCTTTTCGACTGTTTACTTTTAAGTGCGAAGGAAACACAATCGAAGAAATGTACATTTGTGCTGGAAACAAATCAAAGTTGCTATAATTGAAGTTAATCAACATTTATTTTTGTTGGGGTATGTAAACATAGGTTCTTGATTATTGAAGTTGACTTCTGATTACCAATTATATCCTACAGGCTACAAATATACAATCGAGGTGATAGGCTTATTTTGGATTTAAAAAAAGACTTTTTCTCTGTTTCTACTATTGCACCCTAAAGACTATTTCTGTAATCGAGGTGTTAGGTTTATTTCAGATTAAAGAAAGGCTTTCACTCTGTTTCTGCATTGACTTTGATTACACTCATACTGAACTCTAGACACAGTGGGAGTTTTATAAATGGACGAACATAGAGTCTCTCATCCGTCAAGCTTTAGCCATTCGTCTTGCATTTCTGATCTGCTTCTCATCTTCTTGGTAAGTGTCTCTCCTCTTCTTCACTCTGTTTAAAATTGTGTTTTAAACTATTTGTGGGATGATTTTAGGTTTAAGATGGACAGTTCTGAAGTAGATAGAATTGAGGCTCAGGGGTCTTTGCCGGACTTCTATACCAATATCAGGTTGTCTGATCTGTTTAACATCCCCGGTGAATATGTGCCTATGTGTCCTCAGATCCATAGCGCAGTGAGCGCGGGGAAGAAAGAATGGGTGGAGAAGTTAAAAAGCTACGGTAAGCCAATGGCTTGTCTAAAAAGCGAACAAGGAGATTCTGTTCTTCACGTTGCTGCAGTTTGGGGTCGTCTTGAACTAGTGAAGAGCATAGTCTCTGAATGCCCATGTCTTCTTCTGGAGCTAGACTCGAGGGATCAGCTTCCGCTTCATGTGGCAGCTCGTGCTGGTCATGTAGATGTTGTTAATGCTCTTGTTGCGACATTAACATCTGTCCTAGCTAAATCTTCTGAAGAAGAGAAGCAAAACCTGAACCTGTATGTTGCAAAGGACATAAATGGAGATACTCCTCTGCACTTAGCCTTGAAATCCCCTCGTGTGAAGACTGTTGGTAGACTGGTGGACGCATACCAACAAGCTTCGTTTCATGCAAATAAAGATGGAATATCTCCCTTGCATTTGGCAGTTGAAGCAGGAAAGGTAATCGTTGTGACAGCAATGTCGAAAACTACAGACAATAATAAACAAGATTCGCAGTTGGAAGGGAGAAAATGTCTTGTGCACGCGGCTCTGAAGGCCAAGAATACAGGTTCTGTTTTTCCTTTTAACCGATTGGCAGCTGCATTTTCTTTTCTCAAATATATGCAACCGTTAGGAGATGAATCTTGGGTAGGTGTGTTCTAGCGCTAGTAATTCATATCTTCCCACTTTTTTTCTAGCAGATGTCCTCAATGTTACTCTTAACGAATATCCAAATCTTGAGGACGAGCGAGATGAAGAAGGAATGACTTGCCTTTACTTGCCTTTCATTTGGAGTATCCATAGGGTTTTATGAAGGAGTATGCAACCTGTTAGACCGATCAACTAAGAGTGTCTATGTGTGCAACGACGATGGATCCTTCCCGATCCATATTGCTGCAGAGAAATTTCATCCCAGAGTTCTGAGAGAGATTCTAAAACGTTGTCCAGATTCAAAATACCTTCTTAACAAACATGGTCAGAACATTTTTCACATTGCAGCGATGAGTGGGAGAGCTGCAGGGTTTCTTTACCTTCATTTCCGGAGATTTAATAGGGACCTGATGGAAAAGCAAGATGTGGATGGAAATACACCTCTCCACTTGGCTACTTTGAAGTGGCGCCCTCGTTCTCTTTTCTTGCTTCTATTTTTAAACCAGGGTAAATGGATACACATGCGGAACAATTGTGGTTTAACAGCTCTTGATATCGCCGAGTCAAATCTGCAACCCAACTACATCTTTATTGAGGTATCTCTGATTTCCCACTATAATCTCACATTGAACTATGAATTTTATTTATCTTCTTGACTTTTTATAGTCTGTTGTTTGGATTGCAGAGGGTGACACTGGTGGTGTTATTATACTTCAACAGGAAAAGCATAACAAAGCCATCAGATCCACCAGCTGGTGACAAAGTCAAAGACTACATCAACACTCTTTTAGTGGTGGCAGCTCTTGTAGCAACGGTGACGTTTGCTGCTGGATTTACAATACCTGGTGGCTTTAATAGCTCAGGTCCCAAATTGGGCAGCGCAACTCTAGCCAATGACCGCAAGCTCGTCTATTTTATGGTATTTGACATCCTGGCAATGCAAAGCTCCATCTTGACGATAGCTACTCTAATCTGGGCGCAGCTGGGCGATCCAGCACTTGTTCAGAAATCCTTAAATGTGGCATTGCCATCACTGTTTTTCGCTCTTCTCTGCATGCCGGTGGCATTCTATTGTGGCGTCTTTGTTGCATTTTCGCATGTTAAGGGGCTTATGATCTTCCTCGACATTACATCTGTGGTCTTCGTCTTTACGATGCTCTTTATCCTTGGCCCTCACGTGTTACTACAAATACCTGGCCTTCCTGGGGGTATCTTTGGTCTTTATTTCATGCAATTTCTATATTTCTTCAATGAAGACAGCTACAAAAAGGCTCCTGCTCCAAAGATCTCAGGTAGGAATCATCTCATCCAAGAGAAAGAAAGTAGCTAAAAGAGCGCATTTTTCTCACATACATCGAAGTTGTATGATCCACTACTTGTTAAACTTGACATTTTGTTTCGATTTCTTTCCTTTGTTGTGGTTTTATTTGCTTGTGTTTCTGTTTTGTACCAATAGAATTGTTTTACTTAAAAAATACTGGAACCATTCTTTGTTGTTATGTATCTTTGGAGTTGCACATTAGCCAAGACTACTAGATGTGCACTTGTATTTCTTTTTTTTTCTTTTTCTTCTCGACAGTGCACTTGTATTTCTTTCTTTGGGATATTCATATGCTTGTGAAGACTTTTGAGTATAAGAGAAAGATAACCGAGCTATGCCCAAATGAGAACAACTATTGTTATGATAGAGGAGTAGATCGGTAATGTGTCGCATACAAGAAAGACTAAACAGCTCTTTTCTTGGCCAAAAATGGCCATTCCCAACTTGGGAACAGAGCCGTTGTAGCCACCTGGTGGTGTAAATCCTGCAGTAAAAGTCATGGTGGCTGAGTGACGACAAGAGTTGCAACCAATGGAAGAGTTTTGACTTGATATATTTACTTTCCACCATCTGACTTCTTGAATGATATAAGACTTTCTGAAACTGGATCGGAACCTCTTGGTGCAACATCATTGATCAAATTAAGCCATATCAAGCTCTGCATATACAGCATACAAGCATTAGTGGAGAAGGTATATGCACATGGTAATATTGGGTGGGACATCTTCGTCATATTACCTGTTAAAATACGTAGCTCAAACCAATAATATTCAGCTATATCTAAAGCTGTGAAACCATTATAGTCTTTTATTTTTTCAGGTCAACTATATGGCCCCAAGTAAACATACTCACAACTTTAGGGTGCCAGTTTTTGGTGGCATCAGGCTGTTCAGTGTGTTTCCATCCACATATGGTTCATTGATCAAATTTTATTTGTTCTTATTCTATAACATCTTATGATAAACTTGATAACTTCAAGTTTCCCATGCTTTGCAGCAACATGAAGAATATAGTCTCTGTGAAGCAACTCAATGTATCCAAGTCTTGTGGATGAGTGAGATGAAGGAAGGACCTCTCTTTCGTTTGGAGTTTAAATGTGGTATTATTAAGGAGTATGTACCCTGACGGATGGTGTTTTTGTCTGTCATTTGACGACAAGTGAACAAACAAACTGTCTGGCGAATGAGAAAGATGTGGATGGGACTACACCTCTGCTTCTAGAGCTGCTCATTGCCTTGCAGGGCAAGAAAACCTCTTCATACAAATTAATAGCGGCTTTGACAGCTCTGGATATAGTCGAACTAAATCTGAACCCCACTACATCTTCCGAGAGGTATGTCTAATTTCATTTTCACCATAACATTTCTTTTTCTCGATCAGCTTGATTTTGGTTGATAAAGACTTACTAAGAGTTAGGCTTCTGTGTCTTCTCTTGTTTTAGGATTTCTAGTCGCCAGCTTGGTGCTACTATTATTTTCTGAAATGTAGGGAAACGTAGACAAAGAAACATACAGTTCCTGTTAAAAACAAAAATCGAAGTTGCTTAAGTTAACTTAAGTTAGTATAGATTTGGGGCAGTGCTGTTTACATGAAAGGTGAGGTTGATAGGCCTGATTTACGTATTTTAATGCAGTTCCAATAAACTCATTAGCCATTTCCGTGTGGTAAACTCATAAATCCTAAAAGGCTAAAAACTCTTTGATCAAGATACTAGATTCATTGAATAGTTTAGTTTTATAATTTTCTTCTGCTCCTGCACTGTCTAAAATATGATCTTTATTATTGTTGTAGATATAGATGTATATGTCAAGTCATCAGCTAGCTCTCAGTAATAAAAAAATTCCGTCATTAATGGCGCACAGTCGGATGTTTACAAAGTCAACTTGTTCTAGCCTTCATAAACTAAGAAAGAAATTACAACAGTCCACAAGACCTCACACACATCGAGATATTACGCTTTACTTAGGATTAAAAAAGACCTTCACTCTGTTTCTACACTGACTTTGGTTATATAAAATGGACTCTCTCTTTCATCAAGCTTTAGCAACTCCTCCGGTAATTCTGATTTCTTCTTCCTCCTCCACTTGGTAAGTCTCTCCCCCTCTTCGACTTGGTATGTTTACATTTCTTTTTTGTTATTTTTGGAGAGCTGAAACTATCATTTCAAAAAATTTGTGGGATGACTTAGGTTTGAGATGGATTGTTCTGAAGCGCGTCTAGATAAAATTGAGTCACAGAGTTCAACTGAGTCGTCTCAAGACCAAAGGAGACAAGGATGCTTCTCCATGAATAAGATAAACAACGGCTTTCGCACACTCAGTTCACGAGGTTTCCTTCGAGCCAGAGGAAAAGCCAAAGACACTGAGTCTGTACCGGAGTATCTTATTAATCTGAGATGGTCGGATCTTTTTGATCTCCCTGGTGAATATGTGGTCATGAATGCGGTGATGCTAAGCACACTGAGTGATGGGAACGAAGAATGGCTGGAAAAAATGAGAAGCCTTGGAACACCACTAGCATGTCTCAAGAACAATCGAGGAGATTCTGTTCTTCATCTTGCTGCTACATGGAGTCATCTAGAACTAGTGAAGAGTATTGTCTCCGAATGGCCATGCCTTTTATTGGAAGCAAACTCGAAGGATCAACTTCCGCTTCATTTGGCTGCTCGTGTTGGCCATTCAGCAGTTGTTGAGGCTCTTGTAGCGTCGGTAACATTTTTTTCTGATAAACTGGTGGAAGAAGATAGGGAGAGGCTGAATCCATATGTTCTAAAGGACATAAATGGAGATACTGCTCTGAACTTGGCCTTGAAAAGACGCTATATGGAGGTTGCTCTCTTTTTGGTGAAAGCGAACCAACAAGCTTCGTTTCTTGCAAGTAAAGACGGAATATCTCCCTTGTATTTGGCAGTAGAAGCTGGGGATTTGTCCCTTGTAAAAGCAATGTTAGGGAATAATGGTACGGAAGGGACAAATTTTAACTTAGAAGGGAGAAAATATCTTGCACACGCAGCTTTGAAGTCCATGAGTACAGGTTTGTTCTACTTTTTACTAATTTGCAGGATCATAAGTTCAAACCTGAATAATTAACTGAATCTTGTTTGAGCAGATGTCCTTGAAGTTATTCTTAATAAATATCCAAGTGTAGTGGATGAGCGAGATGAAAAAGGAAGGACTTGTCTTATGTTTGGAGCATCAATGGGATACTATAAAGGAGTGTGCAAGCTCTTAGAAAGATCAACAGAGAGTGTTTTTGTATGTGATGATGATGGATCCTATCCAATCCACATGGCAGTAGAGAATAGTCATATTGAAGTTGTCATTGCGATGCTGCAACGGTGTCCATATTCAAAGCATCTGCTAAACAGAAAAGGACAGAACATCCTTCACATCGCAGCTGAAAGTGGGAACCTTTCAATTCTAGACCACTTAACTACATGTGAAAGTACATACTACCATCTGAGTAATGAGCAAGATGTGGATGGGAATACACCTCTGCATCTAGCAACCATAAAGTGGCGGCCTAGAGCTATTCATTGCCTTGCAGGGAAAAAGAACCTGTTAACACAGAACAATAAGGGATTGACAGCTCTGAATATTGCCGACGTAAATCTGCAACCCCATTACATCTTTCGGGAGGTATGTCTAGTTTACCACTTTCTAATCTTACATCAATTATGTACTGCATGTGACTCTTGAGTGCCGGATTGCAGAGGTTGACACTGATGGCCTTAGCAGATGCTCAGTTCAAAAACTATCCTACATTTAGGGATACACCACACACCATGGGGCTAACTAGACCAATAAAGCCTAAGGATGGCGGAAACAAAGATTACATCAACGCTCTTCTAGTAGTGGCAGCTCTTATAGCGACGGTGACGTTTACTGCTGGATTTACTATACCAGGTGGAGTCAGAAGCTCAAATCCAAACTTGGGCATGGCAAATCTAGTAACTAACCCTTGTCTCATCGCTTTCCTGATATTTGACATTATGGCACTGGAAACCTCATTTATGTCTGTAGTTTTTCTCATAGTGGTGCAATTAGGTGATCCTGCGTTATATCATATTTCCGTCCAGGCGGCCATGCTATGTCTGTATTTGGCTATATACTTCATGAGCTTTGCCTTCTTTTTCGCCATGGTTATTGTAGCTGGGAATGCTACATGGCTTCTTTCCATCTACATCTATTTGACTATCCCCACATTGATGTTGATGCTCTCAACGTTTATACCTCACGCTCTTCTACATAGGTCTGGCTTTCGTTCTAGGTTGTTGTGGTTTCTAGTGTATCTTGGGAATTCAATTGATGACGGCGGAAACCAAAGAAGGCCTCTGCGCGAAGTTCTCTGGAGATATTATATATCCAAATTTGGACCAAATGTCACAAACTATAGATAAAAATAAACAAAGTAAAAAAGGGAATGCTTCTTTCTGATGCACCTTTTACGTTTTCTTATTTAGTTCCTCTATAATGTTGAATAATTTGGATTGTCTTTTCTTTCTAAACATGCATTTCCGGATTTGCTTCTATGTGAGCTAGAGTTTGGTTTTAAAGTGTACTTGCGTTTGTTTTTGACTATAAATGCAAATCTCTATTATCAACTATTGAATCACATAGATTTGTAAAGTTGCTAAAAAATTTATAGTGAAAAGAATGGGTTGACGAGCTATTTCCTCTCGAGAACTATCCTATCAAGTCATATAGAACCCAAACTTTGACTCCGAGTCCAAAGTCAAAATCTTGACTAGTGTACTCTAAGAGTGGTACCAGAGTTTAAAATCTTGACTAATTTCTCACCATAACATCATGACTTATTCTAGATAAGTTTGTCATCTTGACCATTCGATCTTGGTTGATATGGACACCGACTAAGTGTCTGACTCCTTTATATTCTCTTGTTTCAGGATTTCTTGTCTACAACGTGGTGTTAGAAATGTGAGGAAACATAGAGAAAGTAATATAAAATTTGTGTTAGAAACAAATGGAAGTGGTATGAGTTTGTATAGAGATTTGGGGCTCTGTGATCAATTTGAAGCCTATCTTCTCGATGTGGCAATATCAGTTTTAACTTCACGATTTACGCCCTACAAAGGCTAAAACTCTTTGATCAATGTATTAGGTTCACGTCGCATTAGAGGGACCTTTTTTATTTTATTCGTTTATCAAGGCTTTTAGTTGACATTTAGAGGAAGATTTGAATTTTTCCATAAAATAAGAAATAGATTACCACCTCTAATAGCTGTATAAGATCTCACTCACATCGATGTAAGGTTTACTTCGGATTAAAGAATGACCATGACACCACACTGTGTCCATTTATATATAAGAAAAGACTTCAATTGGTTTTATATAATGGACGAACATGTATGGAGTCTCTCTGCTTCCATCAAGTTTTACTGCTTTAATTTAGTGACTCCTCCTGCATTTTTTATTTTGCTTCTTCCTCCACTTGGTAAGTCTCTCTCCTTCTTCGACTTTGTATGTTTACTTTTTTTTTTGTTATCATATTGTTGAAGAAGTGAAACTGTCATTTCAAACCACTATTTGTGGAATGATATAGGTTTGAGATGGATTTTTCTGAAGCACGTCTAGATACAATTGAGTCACAGAGTTCAACGGATTCGTCTAATGACCAAAGGAGACAAAGATACTTCTCCATGAATAAGATAAACAACAGCTTTCGCACACTCAGTTCACGAGCTTTCCTTCGAGGCAGAGGAGAAGCCACGCCGCAGCCTATGGAAGACACTGAGGATTTTGTGCCAGAGTTCTTTATTGATCTCAGACTGTCTGATTTTTTTGATCTACCTGGTGAGTATGTGCTGATGAATGCCGAGATGTTTAGCACACTGAGTGGTGGAGGCAAAGAATGGCTGGAGAAATTGAGAAGCCATGGAACACCACTGGCATGCCTCAAGAACGACAGAGGAGATTCTATTCTTCATCTTGCCGCTAGATGGGGTCATTTAGAACTAGTGAAGAGAATTTTCTCTGAGTATCCATGCCTTTTATTGGAACCAAACTTAAAGGATCAGCTTCCAATCCATGTGGCGTCTAGTGCTGGTCATGCAGCTGTTGTTGAGGCTCTTGTTGCGACAGTAACATTCGTGTCAGCTGGGATTTCTAAAGAAGAGAGGAAGAGCTTGAACACATATCTTCTGAAGGACATAAATGGAGATACTGCTCTGAACTTGGCCTTGAGAAGAGGTTATATGAAGATCGCTTCCTCTCTGGTAAACGCAGACCACAGTGCTTCGTTTCTTGCGAATAAAGACAGAATATCTCCCTTGTATATGGCAGTAGAAGCTGGATATGTGTCCCTTGTAAGAGAAATGTTGGGAAATGATGGCCATGAAGGGGGTATGTTCAACTTACAATCACAACTGGAAGGGAGAAAATATCTTGCACACGCGGCTTTGAAGTCCATGAGTATAGGTTTGTTTTTTTTTGAATAATATTGATTGGCAAGACCACAACTTCAAACCTGGATCGGGAATTGATATTTTCACTTGTTTGAGCAGGTACCCTCGATGTTATTCTGAATGAATATCCAAATCTTATGGATGAACGAGATGAAGAAGGAAGGACTTGTCTTTCGTTTGGAGCATCCATTGGCTGTCATGAAACAGTATGCAACCTGCTAGACCGATCAACAAAGGGTATTTTTGTATGTGATGATGATGGATCCTATCCAATTCACGTGGCAGCAGAGCAAGGTCATATAAAAGTTGTCAATGAGATCCTAAAACGTTGTAAAGTTTCAAAGTACATGCTTAACAGAAAAGATCAGAACATTCTTCACATTGCAGCTAATTGTGGGAAGTTTGGAATTCTACGTGAATTTCACAATAGTAGTCTGGCGAATGAGCAAGATGTGGATGGAAATACGCCTCTGCATCTAGCCACCATAAAGTGGCGCCCTCGAGCTGTACGTCATCTTGCAGGGCCAAACAACCTGTTTATACAAAACAATATAGGCTTGGCAGCTCTGGATATTGCCGAGATAAATCTCCAACCCAATTACATCGTTCGGGAGGTATGTCTGTTTAACAGCATTTTTTTTTTGAATGCAATGTTAAATCATATTCAAAAGAAAAAATAAACGTTTTTACAAAAGTGCATCGTTTTTGGGCTAAAAAATCGAAAAGATTAAGAATAGGCGACAAATTATGTTCTAGTTTGAAGCCACAATTGGAAACCCGCTGCATACCAGAGATCCCCCCATTTTCCGAATTGAAGAAAGTTGATCTCGTACTTGTTTAACAGCATTTTGTAGTCTCACATTGATAATTTACAGCTAGTGACCCCTTGAGTTTGGATTACAGAGATTGACACTGGTGGCCTTTGTAGACGCACACTACAAAAACGACGATCCTAGATACATGCATACCATGAAGTTACTAAATCAAATAGCGCCTATGGGGGGCGCAAACAAAGATTTCATCAACGCTCTTCTAGTGGTGGCAGCTCTTATAGCCACCGTGACGTTTACTGCTGGTTTTACAATACCAGGCGGCTTTAGAAGTTCTACTCCGAACTTAGGCATGGCAAATCTAGTAACTAACCCTCGTCTCATCCTTTTCCTGATATTTGATATTTCGGCTTTGGGAACCTCATTTTTTGCAGTAATTTCTCTCATATTGGCGCAACTTGGTGATCCTGCTTTATATCAGAGTTCCGTAAGGACGGCCATGACATCAGTCTATTTTGCCATATATTTCATGAGCTTAGCATTCTTTTCCGCCATGGTTATTGCAGCTGGGAATGTTATATGGCTTATTGTCGTCCTTTACTTATCATCTATGCCCTTCTTAAGTGTAATGTTTTCATTGTTTTTCCCTCACTTCCTCCTTCTTCGTGTTACTGGCAGTCCTTCTTGGTTAGGAAAGTTCTTAGGTGTTTATGTGGCTTCAGCTAATGACGACGACGAAAGTTATCAGTCCTCCTCTGCTAACAAGTCTGTCAAGATCTTAGGCAATGATAACGTCGAAATTAATTTCAAACTCTAGTTAAGAGAGGGAATGGTGTCATATATCCTAAATATTTCCTGTGGGTATTCTTATTCATGTATGGTGTACACTTTTCTTTATCTTGGATATTTAGTGTTGTCTTATTTTCTTCTTCTTCGAATTAGCTTCTACGTGACATGCATTGCAAAGCAAAATGTAATGGTTTTTTGGAAAATATGTCCTCATTTTGTAACACCCAAATCATTACTACAAGTGTGATAGCAAACGAAGATTGTTTAGTGATATCAAATAAAATCTATTAGCTGAAATTTGTAAAGTTAGTTAATATAATTATAGTGAAAAGATTTACTACATTATAAATCTATTATCTGACATGTATTTATTTCTATGGCCTTTTGAATTTTTAAGATTAAGTCCTCATCTGTTGTAGAAATGTTTATTGCCAAAACTAACTAGAAAGATGACACCAATGACCAAAATGAATTATTAATAGTGGCAAGTAATATGAGGTATATCTAATATATATCTTCGTAATTTAACAATTAGGACGAACCCATATATTTACATATACAATATTTTAACTTAAATCATAGAGTACGTACACACCGCACAACTTCACCTATTCCATTCGTTCTGATTAAAAAGTTTTAAACTCGAGTTGTCTTGATTAAGATGGTATTAGTTGGTTAATTAGTATACTATTATAAGGTCTCGGTCATTTTTTTAAAAAGTAACTAGGATTCCACGTTCTTAAATGTTCACCCAACTAACTACAAATAGTTTCGTATATAGATTCTTAATAATTAACGGTGTTTCTTTTTTCTTTCTTTCTTTTTTTCTTTTTTTTTCTTCAATTATATAGGTATGATCGTGTTCAACAGTTCAAGTTTAACTTTTACACATTGGTTTGTGATGTTTAAGTTTTGATGTAAAATTAGAATCCACGCTCAAAATTTTGTTTACACACTAATAAGTCTTCTTCAACTAAGTTGATAAGACTTGAATAACAACTAAACAGTTTCTTAACTCGGGTCAAATTTTATTTTTCTATTGCAGTTTACGGACATCTACAGAGTAGGTATGATATTAGAACATTCGATGGTGTGTGGTAGCTAAAGAAATCACAATAATTGCGGTTGTTAATGGACAATGTGTGAGCCATTGACTTTGCACAGTGATTACTTCGACTTGACAAAAGACCTTGCAATAATTAAATCATCTACAAGTTTATTACTAGCTACTACACTCTTAATTAGTAATCTCTGTGCACTCACATGGCTTGAGACACTAAAGAAATTATATAAGTCTATCGAATTAACTTATCAAAAAAAAAAAAAAAAAAGTCTATCGTCCAGTATTATATTTTTCTCCCCATTGTCTTCTTGGTAAGTTGATGTGCACCTTTTCTTTTTAGTATTAATGTTCGGTTTGTTCAGGTAACTGAAACTGTGTTTCCGACATCCTTCACAAACAAAGCCCAATCTTCATTAAACATGTAACATGTGTCGTAGTATCAGATTCCTCTTGTTTACATTGCTGCAGATGAGAGTCTTCTTAAATTACTACTGTTGGAAGGTAGGAATTTTCTTGTGCATGCTTCTTTCGAAGGCTAAGAATATTTTGTCTATGTTTATATAAGTCAACAAATTACACACGTTCCCATCATTTTAATTCAAAAATTATAAATATTGATTGTCTTCTACACGGCAATAATTGGTTGGTTAATTTACTACTAGTAAATTTTAAGGTATCTTGGATGTATGCATGTATCTCTTTTTTTTTATTCTTATACAAGTTCATGTATGTGTTTCATTAAACAATTTGTTTTTAATGTTGTTGTTGTGTACGTGTGCTGATTTTATAGGATAGAGATGGACAGTTTTGAAGTTGGTCTTGATAGAATTGAGGCTCAGAGATCAGTCAATGTGTCTCATGAGGAACGGAAACGAAGCTACTTCCGTAACTTCCCCACACTCCGTTCACTACGTTCTTCCCTTCAAGTCGAAAGAGTTTGCACGAGAGACACCAAAACTGTGCCAGAGTCGTTCTTAACCAATATCAGATTGTCTGATCTTTTCAACCTCCCCAAGGAATCTGTGCTGATAAACCCTACGCTCTTTAGTGAAGTGAGTGCAGGGAACAAAAAATGCCTAGAGAAGTTGAGACCACAGATGGCATGTCTCAAGAGCGAGCAAGGAGATTCCATACTTCACCTTGTTGCCAAATGGGACCATCTTGAACTAATGAAGAGCATAGTCTCTGAATGCCCTTGTCTTCTGTTGGTGCGAAACACAAAGGGTCAGCTTCCACTTCATGTCGCTGCTTGTGCTGGCCAATTACATGTTGTTAAGGCTATTGTTGCAGCAATAACGTTTGTTTCAGCTAAACTGCCTGAAGAAGAGAGGGAGAGACTGAACATGTATATTTCCAAGGACAAAGACGGAGATACTCCTCTGCACGCAGCCTTAAAAGATCGCCATATGGAGACAGCCGCTTGTCTGTTAAAGGCCAACCAACAAGCTTCATTTCTTGCAAACAAAGACAACATCTCTCCCTTGTATTTTGCAGTAGAAGGTGGTGATGTTTCACTTGTGAGAGCAATGCTGAATACTAGAGGCAATGGTGAGGATGACCTTAAAGGGAGAGATTTTAACTTACTTTCCCTTTAAGGTCCTAGATGAAGAAGGAAGGACGTGTCTTTCATATGGAGCATCCATAGGGAATTATAAAGGAGTATGTAAGCTGTTAGACCTATCAACAAGGAGTGTTTATGTATGCAACGATGATGGTTCGTTTCCAATCCATATTGCTGTGGAGACAGGGCATATGGATATTGTTAAGGAACTTATTAGGCGTTGCCCAGATTCAAAATACCTTCTTAACAAACAAGGTCAGAACATTGTTCATATTGAAGCCAAGTATGGGAGAACTAGAAGTGGACTTTTGGGTTACATCGCCGCGAGGGAAATGAAGAAGAAACATCTCACGGTGGAGCAAGATGTGGATGGGAATACACCGCTGCACATAGCCACCATAAACTGGCGTCCTTTTACTGTTTTTTTCCTTCTATTTTCTAATAGTCACAAGACAAAATGGAGGTACACACGAAACAATAGTGGTTTAACAGCTCTGGATATTGCCGAGTCAAAAGTGCAACCGAACTACATGTTCATCGAGGTATGAGTTCCGATAATCCCACATAGTTTAGGCTTTTAATTAAAACTTGACTCTCAAGTTTCAATCACAGAGGGTGACATTGATGGTGTTATTATACTTTCACGCATCCACGCCGCGTGATAGATGGTTCAAAAGGATAACAAGACCCTCAAAACCACTAGACTATGACAAAACGAAAGACTACGTCAGCACCCTCCTAGTGGTAGCAGCTCTGGTAGCAACCGTGACGTTTGCTGCAGGTTTTACAATACCTGGTGGTTTTAATAGCTCTGCTCCGAATCTGGGAATGGCAACTCTGGCTCATGACCCAAGTCTTGTCCTTTTTTTGGTATTTAACACCCTGGCAATGCAATGCTCCGTCTTCACGATAGCTACTCTAATATGGTCGCAGTTTGGAGATCCAACACTCGTTCACAGATCCTTGAATATGGCATTGCCTTCCCTGTTTTTTTCTCTGCTGTGCATGTCGGTGGCATTCTATTGTGGTGTTCTTGTTTCATTCATCCATGTTAAAGTGCTTGTGGTCTTGCTCACCATTACATTTGCATTCTTTTTCGGTTTGATGGTCTTCATCCTTGGCCCTCACGTTATCCTACATATACCTGGAATTCCTGCTGCCGTCGGTGTCTATTTTCTGATATTTGTAATGACTATTGTTGATACCCGCATAATTGATGAACAAACTTCTACTACCAAGATCTCCTGGAATCAGGATGGCATCCAAAAGAAAGAAAGTACCTAAGACTAACAGAGAGCCTTTGTTATATCTTTACGTAATGAAGTTATTTTTTTTTGTCTTAGCTAGCACTTGTTATATTTGACATTTCGATTCAATTGTTTTCTTCTTGTTGTGCGTTTGTCTTTAGTTTATGTATTGTGTGTACCCTGCTTAAAGGAATAAAAATGCTGTTTGGAATAAATATAATTATTTGGGAACATTTTTAAATGTTTATGATGAAACTCTGGAGTTGCTTGTTCGCCTTTTATACATCCACAAAAATAATTTAATAACAAAGAGAAGATGAGATCATGCGAACCTTGAAAGATAACTCAGACTCGCTCGTCGTTTTGTCGCTAATACGGTTTCGAAGACTTCGATGATAAAATTAGGCCCATTTGTGATAAGCCCAATTTTAATCACTTATTGAGTGGGCCTTTTGTCTTGTGTGATTCTACGTTGCGACTTGCGAGTGCAACGAAACGCGGCGGCGGAGACGGCTGATCTGATTTCTGCGGCCGCCGGGTACTGCCGTGTAGCTCTCTGCCCGGGATTCGTATTTTTGTAAATTGATGGAGTTACTCACTTCCTGGAATCACGATTCAAAATCAGAAGTCGAAGAGAAATCAGCTGCGGAGGAGTTGGGATGGCTTAGCTACACAGCGGGCACCACGCTTCTCGCCGTGTGTTTCTCTACTCTGGAGGTCGTTTCCGTTAACCTCAAAAGAGTTGATAAGTAAGAAAAGTCTTGCTTTTGATTGATACTAGAACATTATAGCTTCCTCTATTTTTGTTTAGGGTAATGTAATTTTGCATTGAAACTCCACTGATTTGGTACTTCCTTCTGAAAACTGACTCATGGTTAACGTTGCAAGTTCAAGAAACCAATAGGTCGTCAGATGTTTATTTATTACCGTGGAATGTTTTCTTCTTTTGGATCATGCCTTGTTTCCTTTGTAATAAACAATAAGGTAGACTTGAAGAACCCCTCTAAATTATGAAGTTTTTATCTGTTGAGTTATTGATATGTTTCTTAGAGGTAACTTAGCAATTCAGGACATGAACTGTGGTATGTAAAAGTTAACTGATCCATGCTCTTTTTCCGGATGTAGGGATCGATCACTGGAATCACTTTGCTTAAAGTCTCTGAATTGGTGTGGGACTTCACTGGTATGCGACACGTTGTTGGCTAAAAGTCATGCAATCATTCCTCGGCTGGTTTCGTGCCACCACTTGAATCAATATTTAAGATTAGTAGGTCCGGTTTACAAGCTTGATTAAGATGCCAAGTTTACTATCTTCCATTCCTTTGGTCTTTGGTATTTAATAGTTTCTCCTTCCCATCGATGTTAGACTGCTGTCCGGCTCAGGCAGCTGTAAGTCTCTTTCTATCTACCTTCTTCTTGCTAATATATGAGACGGGATGAATTTTAAGCATGGAACTGAGATTTTTTTTTATGTTTATTGTTACCGCAGTTTAGGCTTACATACTGTTGTTGAGAATCGACTCACTGAAGAGCATCAATGGGTGTGTTTGTTGACCAACGAAGACAAAAAGGCTTCCTTATGACTCTGATCATAGACTGCTGCACCGCACACGGAATTTGTACCAGATTTCCTAACAAATATCAGGCTATCAGATATTTACAGTCTCCCCGGTGAATACGTGGCAATGAGTCCAGAGATCTTTAGTGCGATGAGAGCAGGGAACAGAGACTTTCTGGCAAAGATGAGAAGCTCCAGAACACCAATAGCATCTCTCAAGAACGATAAGGGAGATTCCATTTTACACCTTGCTGCTGCTTTGGGTCATCTTGAACTAGTGGAGACATAATCTCTGAGTGCCCATCTCTTCTTTTCGAGCCAAATTGGAAGGATCAGATTCCAATCCATGTTGCTGGCCGTTTAGCTGTTGTTGAGACTCTTATTGGTTCGATAACATATCTTTCAGCTAGAATATTGCCTGAAGAAGAGAGGGGGAAATTTAATATCTATGTTCTAAAGGACCGAGATGGAGATACTCCTCTTCACACAGCATTGAAAGGATGTCATCTGGATGCCGCTCTCTGCCTCGTGAATGCGAGCAAGCATGGGTTATTTCTTGAGAATAACGATGGAATATCTCCCTTGTACATGGCTGTAGAAGCTGGAGATCTAGCCCTAGTGAAAGCGATGTTGAACGTTCTTGGTAATAAATCCCCAGGCCAAGTTTTTAAGTTATCCTCACAGTTGGAAGGGAGAAAATCGCTTGTACACACTGCACTTAAGACAAGAAATGCAGGTTTGATTTCCCACTTTAGCTCTGTTCATGTTCCTATATTCAAGAAGCTAGATATTGAAGTTCCCACCTGTTTAAAGCAGATATCCTTGATGCTATTCTGAATGAAGATCCAACTCTTGTGGACGAGCGAGATGAAGGAGGAAGGACTTGTCTTTCATTTGGAGCATCCATAGGGTTTTATAAAGGAGTATGCAACCTGTTAGACCGATCAACATTAGGCATCTTTGAATGCAACGATGATGGTTCCTTTATAAAACGTTGTCCAGATTCGAAAGAGCTGCTTAACAAACAAGGTCAGAACATTCTTCACATTGCAGCCAAGAGTGGGAAGGCTGGGTCTTTGCTTCTAAACTATATCAAGAGACTTGATCGAAAGAAGAATCATTTGATCGAAGAGCAAGATGCGGATGGGAATACACCTCTGCATCTAGCCACCATAAATTGGCGTCCTCGAACTGTTGGCAACCTTACTAGTTTTACTTCCAGAAAAATCCTAGAGATACAGAACAACGATGGCTTGACAGCTATGGATATTGCGGAAATTAATCTGCAATCTAGATATGACTTCCGGGAGGTATATATGTCCTAAATTTTTTTATTTAATATCAAGGCATATAAAGCTTATTTCCTTTTTGTTGCACTTTCTTGGGATAAACAGAGAATGACGTTGATGGTCTTACTGTGTGCGTCCTCGAAGAGGTTTTCAAGTGATACCCACTAGTGGAATGACTCTAAGAAGCAGACCAGAGCATCATCATCTAAGTGGTGGTGACAAATACAAAGACAATATCAATGCTCTTCTAGTTGTGGCAACCCTTGTAGCTACGGTAGCGTTTGCTGCTGGTTTCACAGTACCAGGTGGCTTTAGCAGCTCTCCTCCGAACTTGGGGATGGCCATTTTGGCCAATGAGCTCGACTTTTACTATTTTCTGATATGTAACACCTTGGCAATGCAATGCTCAGTTGTAGCAATAGTTGCTCTTATCTGGGCACAGTTAGGTGATCCAGAACTCATTCACAAAGCCTTTCACTTGGCCTTACCATCCCTCTTTGTTGCTCTAGTCTTCATGTCTGCAGCATTTCTTTTTGGCGTGGCTGCTACAAGGAGGTCACAAAATAAGTTTCTTTTCAGTGTCGTCTTCAACACTATAACTGCCATCTTCTTTCATGTGATGGTTTTGCTCCTTGGTCCTTATGTTATCCCACAGCTTCCTGGCGTTCCTTTTCTTCAACCCGTAACTGGTCTTTATCTCCAGCTGCTTTTGTTGTTTGTTAGTGAAGACGATGATGTCTCTAGTGCTGGTCACACCTGTGAGAAGAAGAGGGTGGAGTCTGTGGGATCCTCAGGCGTGGTTCAAGTGCAAACGTGACTTGAAAAGATATCTAATTAATATATCTGAGATCGAAGAGAAAAGAGAGGTGGAAACGCAGATGTTGAGGACTGAGGACGACTCTTAAGTCTTAACAGCGTTAATTGGATGGACCAACCGAGGAGAGATGGGTCTTGTCGTCGTTTGTTTTTCTAACTCGTTGACCTCAAAACAAGAGAGAAGAGAAGACATAAAATAAAATTCATGGTTTAGATAACTAATTAGCCTATTATTGGTCTTCTTTTCTTGAAGACTTTTTAAGAGTAATGGAATTTTGGGATAGTAGACTAGACTGGAGAGGTGTTGAATTAGGATAAAGATAGTTGACATAAGAAGTTGAAGAAACCCATAAGTCGTTGGATATATATTAGTTTCCCACTAAGAGCTTCCTTTTTTGGACCATGTCTTGTTTTCTTTGTAATAGACACATAAGGTAGAACTGAGAATCCCTGAACAATTACATTATAAGGTTTTATCTGTTAATTATATTGCTAAAAACATAATTCAACAGGCAGCAACGGTACCAATTTTTTCTGATGGGAAAGGAAAACGAGGAAGGTACGCCTTTGTTTCCTTTCACTTAGCCATTTCTTCCTCCCTAGTGGACAATATTAAAATCTCTATAATTTTTTTTTTCCCTATATATCTCAGGCATCTTGGGGTTGGTTCTGCAAGCACTGGAAAATATTGAAATCAGGGAAAGCCTCACCTGAGCTCTTGTGGGTCAAGACATTACTTTGGTGAGAAATCTCAAGCCGTGTTACTTTGTTATCATTGTTTTCTCTATTAGATTTTGTTTCATCCCTTATCTATAGTTCATACTGTATAAGTGGCATTACAATTCGTCTCACTGTTAGTACATCTCTATATATATATTTTTTAGGTGCCGAGTTATCAATGGGAAGGTCTGATCTTGACTTTGACCGTCGGAAGACACACATAAGCTCACAGATGTTTTATGCAGATGAAACCGGGCGTATGTACTCTCTCGATTTGTCAACTCTCTTTGATGACACCAGTGAAACTGTGCCAATGGGTCCAAAGACCATCGCTGCAGTAAGAGCAGGTGATGAAACTTACCTGAGAGATATGAATATTGATGTTAAGGTTGCTATAAGCTCAGTGAATGACCATGGGAATTCAATGCTTCATCTTGCTGCGGCTGCGGGTCACACCAGCTTAGTGTGTTATATACTCTATGCCTACCCAAGTCTGCTAATGAAGTCGAATTCGATGGGGGAAGTTGCTCTTCATGTTGCAGCAGGTGCAGGTCATCTTGCTGTTGTTGAGGCTCTGGTTAGCTTTATTAAAGATGTACCGTGTAATAAGCCTGGTGTTGCCAAAAAGATATATTTTGCTAAGAACAAACACCAAGACAATGCTTTACATGTTGCATTAAAAAGAAAACACGTAAAGGTGGCTTCCTGTTTGGTCAGTGCAGAGCAATGTTTATCTTTTGTGCCAAACAACGATGGGTTTTCTCCTTTGTATTTAGCTGTTGAAGCTGGACAGGCCGATCTTGCGAAACAAATGTGGCAACATTCAAATAATGGATCAAGTAGCACATCTACTTTATCGTCAAAGATGGGTGGAAGATCCCTGGTACATGGGGCTATGAAGGCTAAGAGAATAGGTTCGTTCTTTCAAAAACCGTAACTAGCCTTTTAAATTCCTTGTTCAAGTTAGTTAATGCAAGCAAAATACTTTCTTTTATATATATATAGATATCCTTGGTGCTATACTTAGTGAAGATGCAAGTCTTATTAACATTAGAGATGAAGGAAGGACTTGTCTTTCATTTGGAGCATCCTTGGGGTATTATGAAGGGTTTTGCTATCTGTTAGACAAAGCACCAGACAGTGTTTATGCCAGCGATAATGATGGGTCCTTTCCAATTCATATGGCCGCGAAGTATGGTCATGTCAAAATTCTCAAGGCAATTCTTAAACGTTGTCCAGACGCACTTGAGTTGCTTGACAGAGACAGTAGAAATATTCTTCATGTTGCAGCAAAATATGGAAAACTTCAAGTCCTCAAGTTTATCCTAAGATGTTATAAGGATAAGAACAAGGAAAAGTTGATTAATGAAGAAGATGCAAATGGAAACACACCATTGCATTTGGCCACCCAAAACTGGCACCCAAAAGTTGTGAGTATGCTCACTTGGGACAACAGAGTTGACCTGAAATCGTTGAACCATAACGGTGTCACAGCTCTTGATGTAGCCGAGGAAAACATGGATTCCAGCTACACATTTTTTGAGGTATGGTGTGTAAGTCTGTAAGTTTACATTATAAACCAGTAATGCTTATGCATGTACAGTATATAATCTGATTCATTCTGGGGATACTCAGAGGTTGACTTGGATAGCTTTGATATCTGCTGGTGCACCAAGAAGTCCCAAACTGTTAATATCGATTCCACCAGTAACACCAAACCCAGATGGTGGAAAGTACAAAGATCGGGTCAATACACTTCTGTTGGTGGCCACTCTTGTAGCCACTATGACTTTCACTGCAGGGTTTACACTACCAGGGGGCTATAATGGTTCTATTCCCAACTTGGGAATGGCAACGATAGCCAAGAAAACATCATTCCAAGTGTTTCTGGTATTCGACACCTTGGCGATGTACTGTTCTATTATCACAATAGTTACTCTCATATGGGCACAACTAGGCGATCTTTCTCTCATAATGAAAGCCTTCAACCTTGCTTTACCACTTCTCGGGCTTGCACTTACATCCATGTCGATAGCTTTTATGGCTGGCACGTATGCTGCAGTAAGCCACCTCCCCTTGCTTGCCTATTTCATATTGGGCATCGGCTTAGTCTTCCTCTTGGTTTTGCTGCTGATCGTTATTCCATATGTGTCTCCACATTCTCCTACCCAACCCTTTCTTAGACACATCTTTTACTGTCCCTATTTACTTATGCTTTTGGTTGCTGGTGACAACAACAACAATGACTGAAGAAACATAGGTAAATCACTTTCCAGCTTTTTGATTTATAAAAAAAGACATTTATGTGTCATGTACGCTGCATACGATGTGTAAAATAAACATAAGAATTTTGCGTTTCACCAGCGTCTACTTGGTTTTGAGGCTCCCCACATTATACAGTTTGTTTCATCCAAGGGATCCTTGGATCATTGTTCATAATTCTAATCCCAAATTCTTCTTTTTTTAAAAAAATTAGGAGACAACTTTAACTATTCCTTGGATCTATTTTTGTTCTCTGTATATTCTGACACATTCAGACTTCAGGTACAAGAATCAAAACCATTTGACCTTCCATTTGGGATAACGACGATGACAGCCGCTCTCTCTGTGTTGACTCTTTCCTCTATTATTTCGGATTAGAGCAAAGTTTCCAATCGTTTATCGATAAGGTCACCATCACACTCATAGCTATTTCTCTGGACTTTGGCACATTGGTTGAAAGTTTGAAACACTAAAGGGGTTATAGAGTGAACGAAGATTATTCCCTCTACATACGTTTTTGTGCTTGGCTTGCCATTTTTGTAATCTTGAGCTTTGTTTTCTAGCAATTCTGGCGGAACATGATCTGTCGTTATGTAAGACTGAATTTGATGTTTCTACGTGAAATCCCTCTTACTTGGTGTGGGACTTGCATGTTGGCTTAGTGAAGTTCTGAAGTCAAAAGTCATGACCTCAATTGCTTGGTCACCTCGAGAAACCATAGGTTAAGATGAACTAAGAATACATGACTTTTGACTTTTAGAACTTCACTAAGCCAACATATATGCAAGTCCCATTACTTCAGAAGTCTTAACGTCTCTCTTAATTGGTGTGTGATATGTTGGCTTATTGAACTTCTGAAGTCCAAAGTCTTGATTTCATACTTGAGCCCGATTAGAGGCTTGATTGAGATGCCAAATTTGTCGAGATGAGTATTTTTTTGTTGTTTTAAAATTTTCACACTTGTTAGATATATTTTTCCTGTGTTCATGAGAAGGCTTTTGGTATAATCTAGTTGGTCAAGTCAATACATTTTGTCCTCTTATCCTTTTTTTTTTGTTTTTTTTTTTTTCTTTTGACATATTCGCATCAGACCTGTTTTAAGTCAAAAAGTGAAGTATGTGTAAGTCGTCGTTAATATATATATATAAATAGGGAAAAATGTCATTTAAATCATGAATTTTCAAATTTTGGCCATTTAAATCACGAACTTTCTATGTGGCCATTTAAAGCATGAATTTTTTGTGGACTTAGTTTTTAAACTATCATCTTTCGTTAACAAAACCAAATTGTACATCATATCCAAAAATTTGTTACAAAACAACTAACAAACATTTAGCCATCACTAATTCATCTCTATTAGTAAGAGACGACGTCTAAGGCTAAAACAAAGTGAGAAAGTAGGGATTTGATTTTTGGATTATGACGTTAGAATCACGATTTTGAGATATCGTTTTAGCATTAAACGACGTTTTTTCTCACTAACAAATATGATTAACGATTGTTAGCTGCTTTGTCAACGAATTTGAGGATATGGTGTTCATTACGGCCTGGTCAACGAAAGATGATGTTTTAAAAAATAAGTTAACGAAAAGTTCATGTTTTGAATGGCCATATAGAAAGTTCGTGATTTAAATGGCCAAAATTTGAAAGTTCGTGATTTAACTGACATTTTTCCCTATATAAATATGAGATGGGTCTGCCTTTATTAAGCACAAACCTGAAAGCATTTTTTAAACTAAATTTCACCAGTGTGTGCAGCAACTTGCATTGACTGTTCTGAAGATTGTATTGAAACAATCAAAGCACAAAGAGCATCATGAGTGGGTTTGTTGAGCAACAGAGATCAAGATGCTTCCCGCTGAATCTGATCATAGACTGTCCCCGAGTTCCTTACCAATCTCAGACTGTCGGATCTTTACAACCACCCTGGTGAATCCGTGCCAATGAATCCGGAGGTCTTCAGCGCAACGAGAGCAGGGAACAAAGAATTCCTAGTGAAGCTGAGAAGCCATGGAACACCGGTGGCATGTCTCAAAAATGATAAAGGAGATTCCATGCTACACATTGCTGCAGGTTTAGGTCATCTTGAACTCGTGGAGAATATTATCTCTGAATGCCCATCTCTTCTTTTGGAGCCAAACTGGAATGATCAGATCCCACTCCATGCTGCTGCTCGTGCTGGTCGTTTAGCTGTTGTTAAGACTCTTGTTTCATCAATAGCATATTTTTCAGCTAGGTTGTCTTCTGAAGAAGAGAGGGGAAGATTTAATTTATATGTCCTTAAGGACATAGATGGAGATACTCCTCTGCACGCATCACTGAAGGGGCCTCATCTGGAGACCGCTCTCTGCTTGGTAAATGCGAACAAGCATGAGTCATTTCTTGAGAATAATGAAGGATTATCTCCCTTGTATATGGCTGTAGAAGCTGGAGGTCTAGCCATTGTGAAAGCAATGTTGGAAGGTCTTGGGAATAACGTCCAAGGCCAAATTTCTAACTTAGCCTCAAAGATAGAAGGGAGGAAATGGCTTGTGCACGCAGCTATGAAGGCAAAGAATATAGGTTTGTCTGGTTACCATATTAGCTCTGTTTGCGGTCCATTCCTCAATAAGCTAACTAAATTTACTGTTTGTCTGAGCAGATGTTATTGATGCCATTCTCAACAAAGAGCCGAGTCTTGTTAATGAACGAGATGAAGAAGGACGGACTTGCCTTTCATTTGGAGCATATGTAGGGTATAATCAAGGAGTATGCAACCTGTTAGACCGATCAACTTCAAGCGTCTTTGAATGCAACGATGATGGTTCCTTTCCAATCCATATTTCAGTAGAGAAAGGTCATGTGGATGTTGTAAAAGAGATTCTAAAACGTTGTCCGGATTCGATAGAGCTGCTTAACAAAAAGGGTCAAAACATCCTTCACATTGCAGCCAAGAGTGGGAAAGCTAGATCTTTGCTTTTAAAGTATATAAAGAGACTTTCTCTTGATAATAAGAAGAATCATCTACTCGAAGAGCAAGACGAGGATGGAAATACACCTCTGCATCTGGCCACCATAAATTGGCGTGCCCGAAATGCTAGAGATCTTACTAGGTTTTCTTCAAACGCCGACAAAGTCCTAAAGATAAAAAACAGAGATGGCTTGAGAGCACTTGACATTGCAGAGTTAAATCTGCAATCCAACTACATCTTCCGGGAGGTAAAATATGTTCTCTATCTATACAACAGTTTTATTCCAATATCAAACTAGATAGATAGATATGCCTTTTTGTTCACCACTTTTATTCGTTTGTTATTGGAATATCAGAGAATGACTTTGATGGTCTTGTTATGCGCTTACAAACCAAGCGATTATGAAAAGATACCCAGTAGTGGGATGACACTAAGAAGCAGATCAGAGGTTATAGATGTTAACAAATACAAAGACCGTGTCAACGCACTTTTACTGGTGGCAACTCTCGTAGCGACTGTTACATTTGCTGCCGGTGTTGCAATACCTGGAGGCTTCAACAGTTCTGGTCCAGACTTTGGGATGCCAAATTTGACTGACGATCCCAACTTCATCCTCTTTTTGGTAGCTAACAACGTAGCAATGCTAAGCTCTCTTGTAGCAATAGTTGCTCTTATCTGGGCCCAAATGGGGGATCCAGAACTCGTTCACAGAGCCTTTCAGACGGCCTTGCCATCACTGTCCTTGGCTTTATCCTCCATGGCGGTCGCATTCTATTTTATCATGCGTGCTATAACAAGTAACCATATAAGTTTTGTGTTCTTCATTAACTTTATATATTTCTTCTTTTTTCCTGTGTTCTTTCGTCTCCTTTCACCTTACTTTGGACCGTATATTCGACTTCCACACTTTTGTACATTTACATGTCCAGTAGATCCTTGTGTCCGGATTCTATTGCGTTTTGTTGATGAAGACGATACTGAAACGCATCAAACCTCTGGCTCTGGTCAAACCTCTGTGTGATTTAAGTGGAAAAGACAAAAAGATAGCTTCTTATCTATTTTTCCGGTTTGTTGTTTTAGGTAATTTAATTTTTCTGGATATCAGATTTATCTGTGTTTTCTTTATGCATGCCACGGCCTCTGTTTTGTAAAGACAGTATTTTCATATGAAGATGTCATACAAATTCTCAATCTTAGTATGGTTATGTGATAAAATATAAATTCACTTTAAAAAACCAAAAAGCGGGGATAGCTCAGTTGGGAGAGCGTCAGACTGAAGATCTGAAGGTCGCGTGTTCGATCCACGCTCACCGCATTTTATGACTATTTTACTTTTTTAAAAAAAATTTCTTTCCTCTCAAGAATATCAAACGACGCCGTGTGAAGAGAAAACACACCGAGGTAATCGTATTATGACAAACTCGAATTTTATACTAAGTACTAAGCCTTTTTAAACCAATAATGAATCCTATAAAGTCCATTAATAGGCCCACTAAAATATTTACCGCCTTTGACTCTAGACCGACTGTTTTTTCCTTTATATTCGCCGAAACCCCAAGAGTTATCATTGTTTGGTTTCTCTGACCGGAGAATCTCGATTACGATGGTGTTTCTCTCGATTCCTAACGGTAAGACTCTATCGTTCGATCTGAACCCTAATTCAACAACAATCTCCGCCTTCGAACAATTGGTTCACCAACGCAGCGATATTCCACCGCCTTTCGTTCGTTACTCGCTCCGTATCCGAAGCCATAGCCGTGTGTTCTTAGATTCAAAGGATTCCGATTTGATTTTATTATCCGATCTCGGTGTTTCTCGTTTCTCTACCGTGAATATCCATGTCCCGCTTTTGGGTGGTATGCAAGCAATGGCTCCGCCTAAGCCTCGCCTCGAATTCCTCAATTCCAAACCTCCGTCGAATTATGTTGCGGGTTTGGGTCGTGGTGCTACTGGGTTTACCACTCGGTCCGATATTGGTCCTGCTCGTGCGGCTCCGGATCTGCCTGATCGATCTGTAGCGGCTGCACCAGGTGTAGGTCGTGGGGCAGGGAAGCCAAGTGAGGCGGATGATGATGAGGAAACTGAGGATAAAGGGTACGATGAGCATCAGAAGTTTGATGAGTTTGAAGGGAATGATGTTGGTTTGTTCTCTAATGCCGAGTACGATGAGGATGACAAAAAGGCTGATGCAATCTGGGAGTCTATTGACCAGAGGATGGATTCAAGGAGGAAAGACCGAAGAGAAGCGAAGCTCAAGGAAGAAATTGAGAAATACAGAGCCTCGAACCCTAAGATTACTGAGCAGTTTGCGGATTTGAAGAGGAAGCTTCACACTTTGTCTGCGGATGACTGGGATAGTATTCCTGAGATTGGGGATCACTCGCTGCAGAACAAGAAGAAGAAGTTTGAGAGCTTTGTGCCTATTCCTGATACGCTTTTGGAAAAGGCGAAGAAAGAAAAGGAGCTCGTCTTGGCGTTAGACCCAAAGAGCAGAGCAGCTGGTGGGTCGGAGACACCATGGGGGCAGACGCCTGTCACAGACTTGACTGCCGTAGGTGAGGGAAGAGGTACGGTGTTGTCTCTGAAGCTTGATAGGTTATCAGATTCAGTTTCGGGGCAAACTGTTGTGGACCCTAAAGGCTACTTAACTGACTTGAAAAGTATGAAAAGAACCACTGATGAAGAGATGCTCGATCGCAACCGAGCTAGGTTGTTATACAAGAGTCTAACCCAGTCTAATCCAAAGAATCCAAACGGCTGGATTGCTGCTGCTAGAGTGGAGGAAATGGATCAGGAGATTAAAACAGCTAGGCTTCTAATTCAGAGGGGCTGTGAAGAGTGCCCCAAAAATGAGGATGTTTGGCTTGAAGCTTGTAGGTTAGCCAATCCAGAAGATGCCAAGGCGGTTATTGCTAAGGGAGTTAAGCTGATACCCAATTCAGTGAAACTATGGTTGGAGGCTGCAAAGCTGGAGCATGATGAGGATAACAAGAGTAGGGTATTGAGAAAGGGACTGGAGCATATTCCAGACTCTGTAAGGCTATGGAAGGCTGTTGTTGAGTTGGCTAATGAGGGAGATGCACGGGTTTTGCTTCACAGGGCTGTGGAATGCTGCCCTTTGCATCTGGAGCTATGGGTGGCACTTGCAAGGCTCGAAACATATGCTGAGTCAAAGAAGGTGTTGAATAAAGCGAGAGAGAAGCTCCCGAAGGAGCCTGCAATTTGGATCACTGCTGCTAAGCTTGAGGAAGCTAATAGGAACACGGCTATGGTGGGAAAGATTATTGATAGGGGTATAAAGACTCTACAGAGAGAAGGAGTTGTTATTGACCGAGAAAATTGGATGAATGAGGCTGAGGCTTCTGAGAGAGCTGGGTCTGTCGCAACATGCCAGGCAATTATTAAGAACACAATCAGTATTGGAGTCGAAGAAGAGGATAGAAAGAGAACTTGGGTTGCTGATGCAGACGAGTGCAAGAAGAGAGGTTCCATTGAGACTGCAAGAGCAATATACGCCCATGCTCTTACCGTATTCTTGACCAAGAAGAGTATCTGGCTTAAAGCGGCACAGCTTGAGAAGAGCCACGGGAGTAGGGAGTCCCTTGATGCCTTGTTGCGTAAGGCTGTGACATATGTCCCTCAGGCTGAGGTTCTCTGGCTCATGGGTGCCAAAGAGAAGTGGCTTGCTGGAGATGTTCCAGCAGCCCGTGCTATTCTACAAGAGGCTTATGCTGCAATTCCGAACTCTGAGGAAATCTGGCTTGCTGCCTTCAAGCTTGAGTTTGAGAACAAGGAGCCAGAGAGGGCGAGAATGCTTCTTGCAAAAGCAAGGGAAAGGGGAGGGACTGAGAGGGTCTGGATGAAATCAGCCATTGTTGAGAGAGAACTTGGCAACGTAGAAGAGGAGAGGAGATTGCTTGATGAAGGCTTGAAACAGTTCCCAACATTCTTTAAGCTTTGGTTGATGCTTGGGCAGCTTGAGGAACGGTTCAAGCATCTGGAACAGGCCAGGAAAGCTTATGGCTCTGGTTTGAAGCACTGTCCCCACTGCATACCACTGTGGCTCTCGCTCGCTAATCTTGAAGAGAAAGTGAATGGGCTGAACAAAGCTCGGGCTATTCTCACCACAGCCAGGAAGAAGAATCCTGGCGGGGCTGAGCTATGGTTAGCTGCTATTCGCGCCGAACTGAGGCATGACAACAAGAAAGAAGCAGAGCGCTTGATGTCAAAAGCTCTGCAAGAGTGTCCCGATAGTGGTATCCTCTGGGCGGCGGACATCGAGATGGCGCCACGTCCTCGCCGGAAGACAAAGAGTGTTGATGCCATGAAGAAGTGTGATAACGACCCTCATGTCACTGCTGCTGTTGCCAAGCTCTCTTGGCAAGACAAGAAGGTGGAGAAAGCCAGATCATGGTTTAAACGGGCTGTTACCCTTGCCCCAAATATTGGTGATTTCTGGGCTTTGTACTACAAATTTGAACATCAACATGGTTCTGAGGAGAACCAGAAGGAAGTCATTGCGAAGTGTGTAGCTTCTGAGCCGAAGCATGGTGAGAAGTGGCAAGCCATCTCAAAATCGGTTGAAAATGCTCACCAGCCTATTGAAACCATCTTGAAGAGAGTAATGCTTGCGATGAACAAGGAAGAGAAGGCTGCTTAAGAGTAACAAGTTCCTTTTGTTTTCCATGATCATGCGTTGCCCATAGCACATTATGCCTTTGTTCTTGTTTTCTCTTTGCAGGCTCAACTTTAGCCGTTCATGTTTTTCTTCAGTAGCAAGAGCTGATATTGATTTGCTGGAGTGTTTTCACCAGATACTTGTAGAGTTCTCAATTTACTGAATGCGTCAGTCTTCTTTGTGAGTCTCTGCACGTTATAATTCTGCTATTTATTCTTCTTTTGTTCTTGTAATTCTGATCATATTTGTTGTTCGTTTTATGCCTTAGCCTTCGTTCTTAGGGAGCTGTGCTTCTACCTGGTGTCTAAAATTGGTGCGTTCTTCATACATAGTCTTTAGCTAGAAAAGAATTAGTAACTTCTTTCTTTTTCTCACTGCCTCCGTTCTCCAGTCTGTGAATCAAACAACTCTTCTTGATTTCCAGGCACAAAGGTGCGTTCTTTTGCTTTTAAATTCCTTATATTTGATATTTGAATTGTTCTGTTTCTCTTAATGGGTTTCCCGTTGTTTTCCATGTTATAAGGCCTCTCTCTTTTGTTCCAGTTCATCACTCTGCACTTAGTTTTGTCAACTGTTTTGTTTTGTTTTGTTTTGTTTCCTCTTTATCACTCTGCACTAGTTTGGTTTCTGGGTAATTTTCAGAATAATAGGTTGTTTCTTTAACGTTTCCTGAGATATTTAGCCACATAATGTAAATTTCTCATGGGAATTTGTTTTTTGTCTTTTCAGTTTTTGGTTATAGTCATAGATAGACATATGATTGTAAGTATCTTCATAAAATGCTAGATTTGCGTGAGTATGATCTGTTCCATGATGTTGTCAGTTCTCACCATTTAAGTGATGCCATTTTCCTTAGAACATTGCAGAACTACCTCATGGGTTTGGTTTCTCCTTGGAATATGTTGAAGAAAAAAACATTACTTTCAGGCACCAGTTGAATATGTCAAAAGAGATATTCATAAGAATCCATCTTGATTCATCTGTGAATTTTTTTTTTTTTTTTTGTCATCATTCATGTGTGAATAAACATACGGGAATACTCTGTTCTCGATCTTTATGTCTACTTTTCTGTATTTTCTTATCTTATTTTCATGTGTTTGTGATTCTTGTAGTTCCTACCTACACTAGTTTAATCACAGGGATTAGTAAAGAACATAGATTAATAAGATTCCTAATGGTGGTAATGTGTCAGTGATAAACAATCTAAGACAGTGTTTTTAGTAATAAATACTCTATTCTGCTGTGAAGATCACATGCTGGATTCTGGTTTTTACTTCTTGTTTGAGGCTTGTTTTTCTCTGTGATCTTGTTGAAACTAAACTTCACTGAATCCTTTTTTTTTTGCATTACTTTGGGGTCATAGTCAAACTATTCATTGAATCCTTCTCTGTGAAATAAGTGCATTAACTCTTTGTCGCGCTAGGTGCGTATTCCTACTCGGTGCTGTTCTCATTCAAACTAAAGGTTATAGCAAGGTCTGCAGAGGTATTGGTGTCATAAGATGATTAAACGTTCCAAACATATAATAGTTGACTTCTGATACTAAAAAGTTCCTGGAAAACATTGTTTGCCAAAATATCAGGATCAGACATCAGAATTCAGAACAGAACTTGGAAGAGCCATAACAATCCGAATGCACTAACGAGGAAAACATTAAACCGAATCCCAAACACTAAAAGTTTGGCCCACTTGGTTTACCAAAAACGGACCACACAGTAGGCTTACGCTGTACTGTATACTATATATAGCCTATCACAACTGAACACTTCCTTCTAAAACTACTTTCTAAAACACACTAGTCTTATTGCATTATCCAAAACCATTAATATTATTTTCACTCATAGCGAAACAGATAACAAGGACGTGTCCGGAATATGGACCCCAAAAGGCAGCTCTACAAAAGAAAAAAGGAACTAATCCAATATTAGGTTTGTGATGATCATTCATATAATGATGGGGACAAGAACATGTTCGGTATCCAAAAAAAGGTATAATAAGAAATAACACAAATAGATAACTCTATCGTATCGTTATGTCATAATAATAATAATGCGAATGTGGAGCATATAAGCAGAGAAATATAGTTTGAGTGGATATATACGAAACCGCATATTTGACTTTTGATACCATCAAACTGTCCGTGGCTTGTTGGTTGTTGAAATATATTTTAATTAAAATAAATTAAAATATCGTATATGCTAAAGACTTTTGTGCTCTTTTTTTTTGTTATTTTTATAATTCTAAGGTATTGGTTGGTTAGTGGTTTATAGTTGGTTTTAATTAGATAAGATTGACATAATCATCTAAACCATCTTCGTGAGTGTTACATAAAACTGTGTTCGATCGTCAGATAAGATAAGATATATTTAACTGTTCCAACACTTCTATTCTAATAAAAAAGAATTATCAAGTATGGTTGGTTTGGTTTGGCTCTGTTTAATGTTCTTTGAGTCGTAAAAATGTAGGTAAATTATGTTAGTAATTGTTACGGTATCTGAGCAAATATGCACATGTGATCATTTCATCTAAGTCGGTCATTAAAATAATCATTAGATATATTAAGTATGATTAATAATCACATTAAAATAAACAAGGTGACGTGAGAATTCAATTCAGGTCGAGAAGAGAAACCCCAAAACAAACATGACTTTCTACCGATTCTTTTGATTGTTTCCTCTTTGCGAGTAAAATGAAATATTATTATTACTTTCATAATAATTTTTCTTTCTGGTCTGGAAATTAATAATATCAATAAAGATAGGTATTTATGACGAGAAAATGAAATGGGCCGACCACTTAAATTAATTTAGTTTTCCTATCTAATTGTTAGGAAATGATTTGTTCCCATTTAAGTTAAAACCAAAAACAAAATAAATAAAAAGTTTTTGTAGAAGAGAAGAGGAGTCTAGAAAAAATCGGTGGAGGGACCAAACAGCCAAAAACACTCAACACTCCAACAAGTCAATTTTTAGAAATCGAAGGTCCTTCTTTGATTTTTCTCCGTCACATGTTTGACATTTTTGTCCTCTTAAGAGCAAGGGCATTGGTTATACCCAATCCTTGGTCCCAATAATTGTTTATTAATTTTTTTTGTAAGGGACAAATATTAAAAATTTTGGTACCAGCATTGGTGTCCTACGTTATTCGTCCCACAGATAAATAAACAATTTTTTTTATTTTTTATTTAATTTATTTTAATTTATAAGTAAAAACATTTACAACATATTAGATTAATTTATACATTACATCTCTTTATAAAATATTAGATTAATTTATAACACACAAATTTAGAGCAAATAACATAAAAAGAAAAATAAGAAAATTACAAAAACATGAAAAAGATAAAACATAAAAAAAAAACATTATAACACAAAACAGAGAAAGATTAAAACATTTTATTGAAGGACGGGCAATAATCGTCCCGTTTGGACGGACGTTCCTTGGTTTATTAAGCATTTTTCATTTAAATTCAACCGAATAAATGTGAAGGACGATGCAAAGAGTCGTCGATGCACTTGCTCTAAGATCCCACTTCTTTTTTTTGCCATTTTATACTACTAATAACATTTTCAGTTTTAATAGTTTTGTAATATTTTCTAAAACCTTAAATTGATATCACATTTTTTCAAAACAAAACCATAAATTTTATTATATTCTATAAATTAAATTTATCTAAACATCGGTGTTTTATTTAGTTTCAAATATATGGACTATTAGTTGTGGTAAAAATATATATATTTATTTATCTCTGCATAATGCAAATTGTTGGAAAAATGTATAATATTCAGACTATAATAATTTAAATATTTTATGAATTTAAAAAGTATTACTATATGATTATCAAAGATAAAATTAATTTAAGTCAAGTATATGATGATGATCAATAAGCAAAACGAATACTAGATGAAAGTATGATATAAAGATTGAGTATAATATTTGTGTAAAAACAATTACAAATATGTATATGATCAGATTCGTTATATTTACTACTCCATTAAAGTATTATACTAAGTACACTCTCAGGTACAAGAACAAGAACCTCTCTCAGTCAATGTTATCAAGAAACAACAACAACAAGAAACCACTCTTCTCAAGAAATCAGTACTTATGATATACGACATCTCCCATTGATAGGACTTTAAACCTATTCTACACCCAAAACGCTGAAACTCCTGTAATTGCCTTTAAGGAAACGCTCAGTTAGCGGTCTGAGCCTCCTCGACGCTGCCACTTCTACTCCAACCACTGGACAAATTGTGACCAGGGAAAACAGTAATCTCCTTGTCACTTGAGACCAACAAGAAAAACAAAAAGACATAAAAAAATCTACATATGAAATCATCCGTATAGCGACAGATTTGTTTCAGCCACGGTGAGCCATTCTTGAGAAGTAGTTGAAGTCATGGTGTTGGACTCTTAGCTGTTTCAGCCAAGAATCCGCAACACTTAGAAGTGACACAACTCGCTCTTGATCTTGACCTTGATTGTCTTCCGAGAGCCAAACATTGCCTTGCATCTTGTATGTGGCTAACCCGAAAGGACGCAAAGTTACACCTTCTCCTTCCTTTCGGATCCTCTCCTTTTCCCCACCATTCTCTTCTGGCTCCATATCTGTATATCAATACAATAATCATGATTACATTTTTGCTGGACAAATCACATCCCAAAGAACTTCTATCCCAGAGGATTCAAAATATTACTACCTTGGAAAGAAGAAGAAAGAGTGTGATAGCTTAGGAAACAAGTGGACAAATCTTTGATGGTCCTTCCCATTGGAATATGGTAAATCGGGTACCAAGCTACCGCCATCCAACTTGCCGGGGAAAGGTCTACGCTTCTCAACGACATTAATCCAGGGTACCTCTGAGCCAATTCATTGATCTGAAATCAAAATCATCATGTGTCATTTCAAGTATTGAATGCTAACAAGATCATTACAATCAAAAGGGCTTATTTTGCCTATGGCGAATGAGGAATCAACCAAGCCACTAATCCTACTAACTGAAGATTACCTTATCCATGAGAGGAACTCGAGCATAAGGAGCTGATCTCTCAAAGTATTGCAGGTATAGATATCCCAAGCGATCATTAGGATGCAAGAGAGCATCGTGCTCAAGTCCTTCCTCAGAAGCGCTTCTCGAAAGCTTATCACTTTCACTCTCATCACTATATGAATCACTAAAGGAATCTCTGCTTTCCCCATCTTCAGAGTCATCCCTAATCAAATCAAGAACAATCCAGAGAGGTCACACATCATCTCACATACTCATCAAAGGATTAAACTTTCAAATCTAAAATCCCCTTAATGAAGATAGATTCAAGGGAAACGTAACAAAGCGGCAATATAAAAGCTATGTATGTATGTGTGTGTACCTCAAGCGGATCAAGGAAGAACGAGAGGTGAAAATCTGAATAGCAGAGAGATAAGGAACATAATATTGAACAAGAGATTCTCCATTGGTGAGACGAATAGGAACACCAGCTCCATAAGCACTCCATTCATCATAACAATCCCATAGATCACTCAATCTGAAAAACTCAACATTTTCTCTCTCCCACGGATGCCAAATCCGATTCAAACTCCTAATCTCCGCCTGCAACAACAAAAAAAACCCCATTTTAATAATATTTCCCCCCATTAAGAGAAAGATGAAGAAGAAGAAGAAGAGAAGGTTTCAAACCTTGGGAAGAGACTGGGGTGGCACTACAGGTGTTGTACAATGAAGGAACCTGTCAAGGTTCGATTTTTTCGTTGACCCTTTTCCAAACACCATGATTCCTTGCGAGAGGGAGAGAGAGATAAATTGGGTTTCTTCTTCTTTGAAAAATAGGCCACAGAAACAGAGAGAAACGAAGGAGAAAGAGAGAGAGAGAGAGAGAGAGATGGGGGAGACTTTAAGAGGGAGACACGCAAGCGAGTGTCTGAGTTTTGACGTTAGGACAGCTGAATTTAAGGAAAACGGAAATTATGGACAAGAATTTTTTTTTAAACTTAAATTATTAAAAACGAAAAAAAAATTGAATTTTGGAGAAAGATTAAGAAAAAAACCGAAATATACTCAGTTACTTGCTGAAGAAAGAAAAGTCTTCTTTCTCTTTTTTTTCTGTGGAGAGAGACGATTTTACGGTTGTTTTGTTTGTTTCCTCTTCTATGATAAAAATCCAAAAAAACTAAATTTGTGTTTTTTGTCTTTGTTTTTGTTTTTGATTTTCGAGAGAAAAATGCAGACTTGAAAAGAAACGAAAAGAAAAGACCCAATTTTTATTGTGAAGGAAAAGAAGAAAAAAAAAAAACAGAGTTCTGTTACAGTTTTCCCGGAAAACTGAAAACTTTCTCGGGAAATTTGGTTGAAAGAGAGGGAAAAAAACAAGTGGATACAAAACAGAGAGATGAAGGCGTTTATATATAAATAAGGAGATGAGAATTGGATTGCTTTTTCTTGAAAATATTCTTTCTTTTACTTGATCAAAACCCTCTGTTTTGGGTTTTTTGTTTCTTCATTCTTTCTTTAATTTTAGAAAACGAATTAAAATAGTAGTAAATTTCAGTAAATTAATATAAATAAAAAGAGATAAGACCAATTGGAGAAAAGAGAAGGTTCTGTCTGAATTCAGGAAAATTAAAAAAAGAAAAGAGTAAAAGTGTGTATAACAACAAACACCTAATCAAAGATTATCTCAAAGTTTGACGATTTTCCTCGTCCACCGCAGCTCATGATCCTCACGTGGTTCCCTTTTTTGTTTTTTTTTTTAATGTATTGTTGTTAAAACTTATTTCGATTAGAAGATTTTTTTTTAAAAAAAAAAACAAAATTAGTCAACTGTTACACTTGACAGTTAACAACTAGTCGAGTAGTTCATTTACAGAATGTTTAATTTGACTTTAAAAGCATAATTTCATTTTAATTTTGAGTGATTTGATAAATTTCATGTTTGTGAGAATATTACTTCATAGCCTTATTTAGAGGGCAATTTTTCCTAAATAGTTTTATAAGATCAATATAAAAGAATATAATTCTAAGAACATTGTTCACGTGTAAATTAATTTAGAGGGTAATTTCCATTTAAGTAGAAATATCCTCGCTTGATTACGGTTTGGTAAAGTTTGTATTTTTTATAAGAAATTTTTTTTTATATTTTCTACATATTATTATTGTAAATTTTAAAATCTGATATTGTTTTAAAATTTTTAATTGTATATACTTTAACGATTATTATTTTTTTTTTCAGATTTTTACCTATGCAAATCCATAAGATTTCATTAAAATTGACCCAATATACCAAATACGTTTGTAAGGAATAATATTAGATTGTAATAATTGAATTACACCAAAGCAAAAAACATGATATACAAATGTAAAATCCACTGACAGTCTGACACCAAATTGTAAAACACGATTCAAAACCATTAAAATATGTGACTGAATAAAAAGAATTAAGTACACTCATCCAGCTTCTTTTTTTTCCTATCATGGATATATATATACACATTTGACATTACGGATGATATTTGTTAATGACGTATTTTGAAAAGTTGTGTAAAATTAGGCTGCCTAACTTATTATTATTAAAAATTCTACTAAGTCGTTCTTCTTCTATCATGTACTCTGAATGGCTATCATTAATACAACGCAGTCGTAAAAGAAAAAAAGAAAAAAATTATACCTTTTTTTGTCATCAGAAAAAGAAAAAATTATTCCTATATTTGTATTAGGAAGAGTAAAATAAAATGTTAGTCCTATAGATAGTATATATATATACTATGTATTGATGTCAAAAAAGAAGGTAGTGTGTATTATGTATCTACGATTATATATGCATATATTTGCTTTTTATAGCAAAAAAAAAGAAGCAATATTAATTCTTAAAATCTATGCAACTATATAATATAAACTATAATACTATACTAGTAATCTCTTTCTATAGTTTTTTTCTAGTTATAAAAGTTTTGAAAAAATCAACTTATATTACTAACATTTTAAGAGAGAACAAAATCCAAAGTTTAATATATATATTTTTAGCTTATATCCATCCATAGAACTTAAATACAAGACGAGTTCTATCGCGACATAATCTACGCAGAAACTTTTTAGAAGTTCACATGAAACAATAACAAAAAAAAAAAACTATATCTGATGTTGAAATAAGTGAATGGCTAATGTGAGGTGACATACTAGTAAATTACTAATTCTGTCCAGTTAAAAAATCTTACCGTCAAAATATCACGTCCTGGAAATAACGATCAGAAGTTTAATCAAATGGCCATATATATTTATTTATTTTAATTTCTTTTTTTTTTCTCTCCGTAATTCTGTAAATGTTGTCTAAAAAACGAAATACTTGAAAAATTAATGTGAGACAAATATAAACTAATTAAAATGGTAGTCACAATTTTTACCAAAAAAAAAGAAAAAAAAAAACGGTAGTCACAAGCAATCACGTGTAAAACGTCAAATTACGTGGACACGTATCTTTTTTTGGCGTTTGGCGTTTGCTGCTGCCATGTGGTACATTTTCTTGACACATGGCAAATAAATTACAGACCCCATGCTTTGATTTTTCCTATACTGGTTTTGGCTCCACCAAAAATACTTTATTTCACTCAAACCTAATCTCTTTCATTTTTTTTTCCATTTACTATATTGTATTATATATTACTGATATTATCACTTTATTTTTGTATTCTATATTCTCGTTTGTTACACACAAAATGATTTTTATTTTTATTTTTTTGAATTCGGTTAAAGGTAATTTAGGAAAATCTTTTTTTAAAAAAATCTGTCAAACAAAAAAAAACTTATTTTAGAAAGCAGAGGAACTATAAATTATGAATAACACGTGAAAAACATCTCTCTTTTTTTGTTATATTGTTTTTTCTTGTTTTAGATATGGGTTAGGTTTGAACGCAAAACATCTTAAGGTGAAGTAGTACGTATGTGATTAAATAATCGTGGTTGATATTTACATATATATTTTAAATGAATGAATTTATAGAACCGAATATTGTAAGTAAAAAATCTAGAAAACCGGTACGTTGGTTAATGACCGGTTTATCAGGCGGCGCGGGGATGCCAGATGGGTATGATAGCTAGGCGATCGTCGTGATTTGGGGGAACTCTGAAAACGAAAGTTGATGATACTGACGTTGTGCTATGAGTCTCTACTCCGATGGCTCATATCTAATCAATGTTTTTGGACCTGTTGGATCTTTTACCATCATACCAAAAGATTTGCAACTTATTAGTGTGTATATATATATTGAGATAAGTCTTTGGGCCTAACTCATGTATTTTGGACTCCAAACAAATAGGCCTGATTGATTTTTGTAAACCCAATGAGACTCACAAGGCCCTCTACTGGACAACTTTGATTGATGCATGTCTCTTCTTTGGCTCCCTGTACACTCTCTACACCACTCATAAGTGTTTTCTTGGTATGTCGGATTTAGAACAAGAACAGGAGGAGGTGCATACAGAAATCTTCACCCAGTTCAGCAATGTTATAACCAACGTACACATCCACCTACATATATAATATGCAGTGAATTTGCGTTGTTTTTTTTTATATATTTTGGATTACACTGATTAGGCTACTGCATTCATAAGTTAATGGCATAATCATATGACCAAGCTATATATTGATACAAAAACAGGTGTTGTTTTTTGTTTGTTACACACTTACACAACCATATCTGTTTGACCAACTAAAATGTATCATTTCAAGCACTATCGCTAAGACTTAGAAACCACAAATTAAAGCTCATGCTCGGTAAAGAGACAGTTGATCGAGTGATCCTTGTGTGTGAGCTATGTTATGTAATGTTCAGAGTGGTATTTAGTTTTGATGATCATACGAGTTAGAGCCATATAACATCATCATATGGTGAAATTGACCCACCACCACATGACATCAATCGCTATCTATCAAATACACACACATGGGAAGATGATGATGCTGCTCCTTTTCTTCTAACACAAGATATCCTTTTTACTTATTTCCCCTCGCACTTTTTCTCTTTTCTTTCTTTTTTTTTGTTTTCCTTCTTAATTTGATTTTCAATGAATATTTATTTATAACTTAGCTAGTATAATTTAGCTTTGCATTATTATTGCATGGTTCTTGTGATTAGGAGGAGCTGAGGTTGAGTTTGACAATTGACACCCCGCATTAAAAGACTTTTTACTCGCCATATTAGTCGGGAGAGGGATTGCCCTCGATGTGGCCAGGGAGAGGAGACGATTAATCATCTTCTTTTTGAGTGCCCTCCTGCTAGGCAAATCTGGGCTCTCTCCTCTACCCCTTCTTCAGGGACGATGTTCCCTTGTCAGTCTCTGTTCTCTAATTTTGACTTCCTTCTTTGGGGAGGGCGAGATTTGATATGTAGCGGCTATCCAGGATTTCCCTTGGATCCTATGGTATACCTGGAAAGGCCGCAATCGGTTCATGTTTAAGAATATTCGAGAGTCACCTCAGAAGACTTTGTTGCTCGCCAATCAAGAAGCGGAAGTATGGCGACGAGCTTTGGCAACAGAGGAAGTGGTGGACCTAATACACCTTCCATTGACAATCCAAAGGCCTCTTGTTTCTCCACCTCTGGAATGTCAATGTGATGCTTCTTGGCTGGTCTCTGACTTTTTTTGTGGCCTTGGTTGGGTCCTTGTAAAAGATAGAGCAAACTCCCAGAGAGGTCATTCGTTGCTAGGCCTCAAGAGTGCTAGAAGGAGTCTTTCACCATTGCATGCTAAGGTGGACGCCCTTCTATGGGCTATGGAGAGTATGATTGAGATTGGTCAGATTAATGCCAGTTTTGCAACAGACTGCTCGGATATCCTTGTAATTTTGGAGATGCCATCCGATTGGCCCACGTTCGCAGCTGAGCTTGCCTCGTTTAGAGATTTAAAGGCTTTTTTTCCGAACTTCAGTATCCGCCAAATCCCGAGATTAGAGAATGGGCGATTAGATTATCTTGCAAAGAAAGCAAGAAGCCGTGGAGAGCTTTTCTCCTTTACAAGTACATCGGCTCCACCATGGCTCTCCCTAGAGGAGAGTTTGTTCCCGATAACCTTGTAATTTGTTTTATGAGATGAAAAATATATATATATATATGTATATGTGAGATGAAAAATATATATATATATGTATATGTAAGAATTTTACAGTGAACGCAATAGTATACATCAGAAATTAAACCTACAACAACAAACCACCAAATGACAAATTAAACTATTCTGACAACGTCAATATTCAACAAAAGTTCCTACTTAGTGTACAGAACAGTCTAATGTCGGCAGTACATAATAAGTTAATCCTTTTTTTATCTTGGTGTACATAATTAATTTCGCATTTGATGACAAAAGAGTAAAAAATAATAATTTCGCATTCTTGCGTTTATCTTGTTTGTTAACTTGTTTTTTTTTTTCTTTCACTAAACAACTTGTTAATGTATTAAAATATATCGAGTAAAATTTTCATCTCATCCACTACACAAAAGCTATTTAAAGAAATCCTTCAATTATACAAAGTTATGATTTATTAAATTACTGTCGATATAATTCTATCATATCAATTAATCCTAGCTCGTAAAAAAAGTGTCTAACAATTATATTAAAATTCACGAGAGGTTTTAGGCACTAGCTCCATCTATAACTCCATTAACTTAGAATATACTGATTTAAGCCTATACTGATAAAGAAAAACTTATATCGACATATTCGGTAACAAATATGGTAATTGTTTTGAAGTTAAAATTTTAAGAAAAGTGGGAAATTCATGAAAATGTATCAACACGTATTATTATTGTTGTTATTATAAAAGGGTTACAGTACGGTTAACACATAGTAGTAATTGTGATATACATACTTTAGAGCTATATTTTAGTCACTAACCAAACAGGATTCTGTGTTTTGGAAAGCCTAAAAGAACCTTACAAGACTTTGCAAATGAATGTTGAGGATACATTTGAATCAAAGTTTAAAACAACTTGTATGCTTTAATTCAAATAACATCCCTAAGAAAAAGAGTTTAACAAACAAACAAACAAAAAAAACTAAGAAAGAAAAAGGAGAAATGGATTAGGATGTGGAGAAACAAAAGTGATTGAACATGTTGGCTTCGTAGTGCCCATAAAAATAATATCTCATCTTGATTGTCGTGTCGCTTTAATTAGGAAAACACAAAGGAGGGAAACATACAATTAAGTGTTGTTTGACATATGAAGTATGAACACACGGAAGAGTATTTACATACGTATTTCAACATACAACTAGATAAGTTTAAAGAAGTGAATCCAAGTGGATGAATTTGTCTGTCATTTGCACTCAAAATCTGAAAAGAAAAGTCAGAAGAAGTTGTGAAAATGCGTAAAATGATTGGACTAAATAACATCATGAAATTAAATTAAAAATAAAGTTTGGAACCAAAAGATGAAAAGGGATGAATCATGTAGGTTAGGGAAGACAGGTATTAACTGTTAATGATGCAATCAAAAGCTAAATATCTCAGGCCCTTCCTCATCATCATAGCATGCGACAATAAAGAAAGCAAAAAAAAAAAAAAAAAAAAAAAAAAACACTTGATCCAAATACTTGTTCTTTTCCTTTGCAATGAAACAACTACTATTTTAATACAATACATTTTGTTAACGTGTATACAAGCTGATTTTTTTTATAATATTAGATCATTATCAACTCAATTCATACACAAATTTCTTTTTTTTTTAAAAATCAATATGTGCTTTAAGGAAAATTGAAAGTAGTTAGTAAAAAATATAGTTTTCTTCAAGAAAGAAGTTTAGACTTAATTTTATTTGTCTGTATTATTTTTGCGCCTGAAAAATATTATTCTTGTAGTTCATTATATTTTATCGAAGGTTTACAAATATTAAAAATACCTTTTCGTTATACTTCGGATATATTTGATTTTATCGAATGTTTACCAAAATATTTTTGATTTTCTATTTATAGGCATTATACTTGTGCACAAACTATGTTATTCTTCTATGTATCGTTATAAAAAAATTACCATGGTTTCCAAGGATTCAAATATCTTTTTGTTAGACTCCGGATATTTTAAATTATTATGGATTAGTTGTTTTTTTCTTTTATAGTAAGTAATTGAAAATTTTTGTGTGATGGAGAGTGTATGGACTGGATTAATTTGGGAAAAAACTATTCAAATATTTCTTTTCATACAAATTAAATTAGATTTAGAAAGTTATTTGTAAAAATTAAAAAAAGCACAAAAGCAGCTTTAATATATGGCTATCTCTTTCATGAAAAATTAAGAAATACTAAAAATTCAATTTATTTGGGGAAACTAAATCCTTTGTTTTCTTTTTATCTCTCTCCATGATTTGTTTCCTCTTTCAATTAATGAGATCCCAACTCACTCATACTCATACATAGACTTTTCTCTCTTTCTCACTTCCTCTGTTCTCCAGTCTGTGAATCAAACAACTGTTCTTGGATTACCAGACACAAAGGTGTGTTATTTTGCTTTTCAATATAGCTCACATTTGATCTTGAACCGTTCTGTTTCTCTTTTATGGGTTTCCCGTTGTTTTAAGGCCTCTCTGTTTAGGTTCCAGCTGTTCATCACTCTGCACATAGTTTTGTCAACTGTTTTGTTTGTCTTTCCTCTTCATCACTCTGCACTAGTTTGGTTTCCGGGTGATTTTCAGAATACTAGTTTGTTTCTTCTTCTTTTTTCCGACTAACTTTACAACATTGGATTCCTAAAAAGTGAATCCCTTTGCAGTAAAAACGGTACCTTTTTTGGTTTTTGTTGTTGGTTGCTTTGGAATCTCTCTGTTCTTCAGAATTTTGTATTAACGTTTCCTGAGAAATATACCCATAAAGAAAGTGGATGTAAGACTCTCAAGAGAATTTGGGTTTTTTTCTTTCCAGTGTTTGTAAGTTTCTTCAGACAATGCTAGATTTGCCTGAGTTTGATCTGTTTCAGGATGTTGTCGGTTCTCAGTTCTCAGTATTTGAAAATAAGAGTAGAACATTATGGAACTTAGCTCATGGGTTTGGTCTCTCCTTGGAAAATGTTACTTTCAGGCAGAATTTTATGATTTACGCCTATAGAATAATGTCAAATGATGTAAAGAACATGACAAGAACATGACAAAGAGATATTCATAAGAATCCATCTTGATTCATGTGTGAATAAGCATTTGGGAGAACTCTGTTCTTAAACCTTTATGTTTTCATTTCAGTATTTTTTTCTTGTGTAGGTCCTATTTAGATTAGTTTAATCGCAGGGATTAGTAAAGAAGCCGCAGAACATAGATTAATAAGATCCCCAATGGTGGTAATATATGTGTCAGTGATAAACAATCTAGACAGTCTTTTTGAGTTATATATATATTCTATTGTCAAGATCACATGCTGGATTTTGGTCTTTACTTGTTGTTTTCCTCTGTGATCTTGTTGAAACTGCTTTAAAACTATTCACTGAATCCCTTATTTGCATTGCTTTCAGGTTTACAAGATTTAAATCCAACATAACACTTATGTAAAAAGCTCTTTTCTTACCAAATTTTCTACTTGAGCATTGGAGATCTGTTGGTGGTTCAAAAAGGAGAGTCTTTCCTCGTCTATATATTAACCTTATCGTCTGCGTTGGGATTAAAGAATGGGTGGTTGTGTATCGACTAGTAGTAAGAGTACGTGCAGCAGCTGGAGCAATGGAGAGAAGCCTGCGCGCCGACCATACCTTGGGATTGGTTGTTGTGTGAGCAAAAGGGCGAAGAGAACCTTTTCTGACCACATCGTCTCGCTGCAGAACTTGACTTCTATACCAAATCGGATCATCAGCAGCAGCAAGAGCAGGAGCTCTTGCATTTTCACTCAACAAGGACGCAAGGGTATTAATCAGGACGCCATGATTGTGTGGGAAGTAAGTTCTTCAGAGACTTTTCTTTTTTGTTGTATTTCTAACAGTATGGTCAACCCGTATTTAGCTGGAGTTGCTGCTGCTTTGTAGGATTTTATGTCTGAAGATGTGACCTTTTGTGGTGTATTTGATGGTCATGGTCCTTACGGTCATCTTGTTGCTCGAAAGGTGAGAGACACATTGCCTGTGAAGTTGCAGTCTTTCTTTCATACGCTTCAGTCGAAGCAAAATGGTTCTAAAGGAACTCGATTCAGAAGAAACTCAAGCAAATCGGCTGTCCAAGAAGCTGTTAAAGAAGGATCTGATGAAGATAAACTAAAAGGCTTGTGGGGAGAAGCTTTCATGAAATCATTTAAAGCCATGGATAAGGAACTGCGGTCTCATCCTAATCTGGACTGTTTCTGCAGTGGCAGCACTGGTGTAACAATTCTTAAACAGGTAGATCTAGAGAACAGTGAGCACTTGTTCGGTTTCAACCATGTCTCCTCTGATCTAGATGATTTCTTTTGATTGTGCAGGGGTCTAATCTCTTCATGGGAAACATTGGGGATTCCCGGGCCATCCTTGGATCAAAAGATAGTAACGATTTTATGGTAGCAACTCAACTAACAGTTGATCTGAAGCCGGATTTACCGAGTATGCTTAACACCTTTTCACAATCTTTTTTCCTCGCCTGTATGCATATCTCTAATAAGGATGTTACTGTTTTGTGGGTCTAATAGGGGAAGCTGAGAGGATCAAACGGTGTAAAGGTCGAGTATTTGCGCTGGAAGACGAGCCAGAGGTTCCGCGAGTCTGGCTACCTTATGATGATGCACCTGGATTGGCCATGGCTAGGGCGTTTGGTGACTTCTGTCTGAAAGACTATGGAGTCATTTCAGTACCTGAGTTCACTCACCGTGTTCTTACCGACAAAGATCAATTCGTTGTTCTTGCCTCAGACGGAGTAAGAAGCAAGTGATACTATTTCTGAGCCTCAAGACAATGGCTAGACTGATCTTTGAGCTTTATTGAACAGGTATGGGATGTGTTAAGCAACGAAGAAGTTGTTGACATTGTAGCTGCAGCTACAAGCCGGGCATCAGCGGCTAGGATCTTAGTGAACTCGGCTGCACGTGAATGGAAACTAAAGTATCCGACTTCAAAAATGGACGACTGTGCAGTGGTGTGTTTGTTTCTGGATGGGAAAATGGATTCTGAGTCGGATTATGATGAACAAGGCTTCTCGTCGGCCACAAATGCAGTAGAATCAGATGATGGCCAAAGATCAGAACCCTGTCTCCAAAGAAACTTCACAGTTAGATCATCATCAGATCAAGAAAATGAGGCTTACGGTAATGTGAATACAGAGACTGATGCAGAGGATGAGAAGAATGTAGGTGATCAAAACTGGATGGGTCTAGAAGGCGTCACACGCGTAAACTCACTTGTCCAGCTTCCCAGATTCTCCGAAGATAAGTCGAAGGCTTGATATTAGTTTTTAATGCTATTTCTGATAACTGATCTTAAAAAAAAAATGTAATTTTCGTTGTTATGCTTGAGCATTGTGAGCAGCTTGATCTGTTTGTTTTTTTTGCTGATGTTTTGTGTTTGATGTATTTGTATTGCACAATAGATTTGCCTCATTGATTCTCTCTTGGAATCCATGAATCAAATGTATATATACAATTTTAGGTATCTCTTAAATGGGAAAAAAATATATATGTATTTGGTCTTCCTCATCCACTTCCTGCTAGTCTATAGAATCCTGAATCTACATGCTGGTATCTCCTAGTCCTGTCAAGTATTTGCAGGTACAAATTAGCTTAGAAGAAAACGCTCAAGACTATTTTTGAAGAGAGGGCCTCCGAGAAAAGGAACAGTTGACAAACCTCGCTCGAGTTAGAGTTTGTTATCTCTGATGCTTGTGCCTCTACTTTTTCATTTGAGTAACTTCAAGAGAATTCAGAATGCAAATCAAGCAACTAATATTAGTAACACAAAAATTCTCTTCATGATAGCCGACAAGCTGATAAGCACATCATTTTCAAATAAATTGGACTGAAAATATTGAAGATGAAGAAGACTCACGTTGACAATATAGTGACCCATATGAGTTCAATACAATCCACCCAAAGAAGCCTTTGGTCTACAGGAATTACACCGTATGTAACCAAGTGAGCCAATGGCCAGAGTTTCCAGCCTGCCTGCACAACCAAAATCATGACAAAACATTAAAACAAGATGAACTCTTAACTTTCATATGGTGATTAAGACAGAGGCAAAGACTGTTAATTACAGTGAGCATTGGCCAAAATGTGGTCTTGATTTCGCTGAAAATGTCAGCTGGAGATTGGAAACGCAAGAGCCCTAAAACTGTAAAGTAGATACTATTCCAAATTGCAGACCATACGGTTTGATCAAAGGCCACTTTTGCAGGGACAACCCACCATTCTTGAAAAGGAAAGAGAGCCTTGTACGAAACAAGGATTTGGCGTTCAGCGCATTGTATCAACAACATGTTATCACAACATATCTTGACAGAACAAAGATTGATTTTTACCTCACAGAATTGGTAATAATAATGAGAGAACGAACCATGGAGAGTGAATCCAACAAGACCTGATCTAAGTACACGAGTCCGATCAAACTCAAATAGCGGTTTTCCTTCATAACACTGCATAAAATTTACAGTCAAAATAGTCAGAGAGGACTCAAATTGAGAAGCTTTCTAGAAGGTTTTGAGTTTGTTTACTTGTGCAATCCAATCTCCTAGAGAATACACAATTCCACTGATGGCCATTTTCGCCAAAACTGGGTTTGTTTTGAGGATTTGTTCATATGCAACCCAATTGTGCTCAGGTGCATACCTAAGTATCTCGTAGAGAGTCCAACCCTAAGAAGAACAATAACAATCCTTACATCAATTCTTGCATAATCCCATAAAGGTGCAAGCTTTGCAGAAACTGAAGCATCAATCAATTCACAAAAGAAAGCAAAAAAAAAAATCTAAGCTTACTTGCCAATAGTCATGATCGATGGTTAAAAGCTTCGTAACCGCAACTGTACCGGCGGCGAGAACTATGGCTGCGTTGATTCCTCGACTCATCAACCGATCCGTATCTCTATCTTCTCCTTCTTCTTCATCTTCTTTTCTTTCTTCTTCTGGCTTGAAATTGACACTTTTAACATCGATTGCTTCTCTGTCTTCAATGATCGAGCCAACGATCAAACTCCTTCTCTTTGTAATCAATCGTCTCTGGTTCTTAAAAGGGTTGTGTCTAGGTAATCGATCGCCGATTCTAATCCGTGAAGGAAGGTTCCCGGAGACGATGATGGTGGCAGGAAAACAACAGAGAGCTGCCATGGAAGTTGTACTTCTCAAAGGGAGATCCTTTTTTTCTCCTCTCGTTGGTTCTCTCACCGCCAAAGGTTAAGTTTTTAGACTTTGAGAACAAAAAAGAAGCAGACTTTGGTGAGCAAAAACGGTAGGAAACTGAGCCAAACCGAGTTTCGGTTTAATTTAATTAAATCTAAATAACCAAAAGGATTTTCGAATTGGCTAAAACCCGGGCTGCACCAATCTTTAAAACCGAAGCCGAAAAAAAAGGTCCTACCGAGACTTGAACTCGGGTTACTGGATTCAGAGTCCAATGTCCTAACCACTAGACCATAGGACCAGTTGTTATGAGCCCTACAATGCCAGTTTAAGACAAGGACTAGACCATCGTGGTCTCCGCCGCTACGGCAGTCTGGGAAAGAAGATTCCGATCAAAAGAAACGTGTATACGCTATATTTCGTTGGTGAATTGCTACAGGTTTATCATTATCTGTTTTCATGAATGTGTATTGGTTAACGATGTTGATAAGATTAGGTTATGGTGACATTAGAAAAAAATCGGGGGTTTCCTGATTCGTTTGGCCGATTTGTTGATTAGGAGTAATGGACAGTTGCAGCCTTACAGGATCAGACCATAGCTTGTTACTTACAACCTAATCTTATCAGCACGCTCAATGGCAAATGTATAAACCTGTGGAGACACTTAAAGAGCTACGGAAACTGGAGGTACGAGTCAGATAAGTTTTGCATATATGAATATGATCCATGTTTTGAGTCTTGTCTAAGCATTTTATCAACAACTGGATGGGAAGTGACTTTCGGGTTCTGCCTCATGCATATAGGTTTGTGACTGGAAACTCTACCAGAAGGGAAAATTACATACATGTTATGTATTTCTTGGGCAATATGATTCGTTAAGGAGGCCAAGCCAAATGTAGTCATTGTACACCACGTTCATTGATGCATCCATAAGGGGGGGACAGCTTAGATTTTTCTGTGTGTTGCATCCAAAGATGTACTGTGTACCCAAATTCCGAGTTCACCAACCACGGATGACAAGTTCTCGTCTAGTTAGGTGAGCTCTTCTTGAAACAACTTGAATGTTTCTCAGAGACTTGTCATGTCACTACTACCCACGTTTTTTGTATTGTATCTTGGAGATAAGATTAGCTGGTGACAAAGCTGTTTTTGGCTTATATTGAGATTAACGTGCAGCCAGTCCTTTGCTTTACGGATCTTGATAAGATGTTTAAGGAATTAATTACCCATCAAGAAGATAGTGAGCGAGAAAAGGCTAAAGAGATTCATTTGACTTGCAAACTGCAAACCATGATTGAAATTTTTGTGTACATACACGGATTGGGGGAGAAAGAAAGAAAGTGAAAGGACTTTAATGTTGAAACTAGTGGTGGGCCTGTGTAGGTTGAGGTTGAGGGAAGAGCAAGCCTGCCCCAAAAACAAATAATATCTTGTGCAACATGTGATAAGTAGTAGTTTGGTCCTACATGCTTATCCAGATATATGCTGAGAAAGAACATCAAAGGGTTGGCCACAGTTTAGGAAGAACTAAAAACTTCTAATGGTAGATTGCTCAAATAGGTGTTTATGAGCTCTGTTCATTTAATATTTGCCATATATATATTGCTGTATCCACTGAATTATTACAGGGAAAGGGAAAGCAGTTGAAAGAGATCTAACATGATGTAGGTGTTTTGATATTTTAGGAGGCAGAGAGGCTTTTCATGGGACCGCACTAGATGATATTGCAAAATACATTGTGGTTAAGGTTTGTCTCTAGAGCACATGTTGAGACTGGGATACTCTTATATTGTGAGAACGCATTAATAGCTGTAATAAGTGAAGATAGAACTTGTGGACGGTAATTCCCGTGACATTTATGGAGGTATCTGTGATGGTTTTTTCCTATTGAAAAGACAAATAAGGAGACCCAAAAAGGTGAGAACTACCATACACCACTTTTTTTGGTTGAAGACAAAGAGAGTGGTCAATGACCAGTACAGTACTCCCCTATATGTTGGGTTAGGAATTCTACTCATTCTGCATCGCTGAGATAACATTAGTGCCTTGAAGGGCTTGTCTTTGATGGAAGCTGCAGAAGCTCGGCATGATGATGTTATTGGTTGGTTCGAACATGTATCGGAGAATGCCTGCAAGGTCCAAAGCGAGACTCTGCGCCGGATTCTTGAGCTCAACTCCGGAGTGGAGTATCTGAAGAAATGGCTTGGGACTGTTGATGTAGAAAAAATGGACGATTATACCTTGGAAACTCTCTTTTCTTCCTTGGTCCCTATTGTTTCACATGCTGATTTAGATCCTTATATTCAAAGAATAGCAGATGGAGAGACTTCTCCATTACTTACACAAGAACCGATCACTGTTCTGTCTCTCAGGTATATTTCTATATACATGAGTATATGCATCTTTTGATTTCTCTGTTTGTGTATGTGATCCCTTTCTACTCTTTTATTTTGAGGCAGCTCTGGAACGACAGAAGGAAGACAAAAGTATGTTCCGTTTACTCGCCATAGTGCGCAAACTACTCTTCAGATTTTCCGATTATCAGCAGCTTTCAGATCAAGGTTTTTGTTTTTCATTTCTTGCCCTTTCTTTTGCATTGAAAACCTCTTGATTTGCTCATAAATTCTACGATGCTTTTTTTTTGTTAAAAGGTTTTATCCAATAAGGGAAGGAGGGAGGATTCTTGAGTTTATATACGCCGGGAAGGAATTTAAGACGCTAGGAGGATTGACAGTAGGAACGGCCACAGCACATTACTATGCGAGTGAAGAATTTAAAACTAAGCAAGAGATAACGAAGTCCTTCACTTGTAGCCCACAAGAGGTCATCTCGGGAGGTGATTTTGGGCAGTGCACGTATTGTCATCTCCTACTTGGTCTCCATTACTCCAGCCAAGTAGAGTTTGTCGCCTCTGCTTTCTCCTACACCATTGTCCAAGCTTTCTCCTTTTTTGAAGAAATCTGGAGAGAGATATGTGCTGACATCAAGGAAGGCAGTCTCAACTCAAGAATCACTCTGCCCAAGCTGAGGAAAGCTGTACTGGCTCTGATCAGACCAAACCCGTCCCTAGCTTCTCATATCGAGGAGACCTGCATAGAGCTGGAATCAAATCTCGGATGGTGTGGCTTGATCCCAAAACTATGGCCAAATGCAAAATTCATCTCCTCAATCATGACGGGTTCCATGCTGCCGTACCTGAAAAAATTGAGGCATTACGCTAGCAGTTTGCCTCTGGTGAGCGCAGATTATGGTTCAACAGAGAGCTGGATCGGTGTGAACGTTGATCCTCATCTTCCCCCAGAAGACGTGACCTTTGCTG